GGCTCAGACCTTCAACGGATGTTGAAGAGAAGTCTCAATTCAGCCTAGTGTATCTTGGCATAGCCCCACCCTAGTTAGTAGGAGACGGCTCTTCAACATACGGTGAAGGTCTGAGGTTATGAGGCAATGCCCAAGCCCTGGCCTGACGGAAGTTGATTTGGGTGGCGGGAAGGCAGGGGGTTGGGCCAGCCAGTCCAATGAGCGGAGCCCACGGAGCTCGGACCCCACAGGGGGCGGCGGGCTGGGGACGCGACGTGAAGTCTTGTCGGGCACGAGGTGGCAGCATTGCGGATGGAGCCTGGCAGTGAAAGAGGACCAGCAGTAAAACCACCGTGAATCCAGGCTTCGCGAGCGCAGTGAAGATTGATATTGAGTGCTCGAGAGAGCTTAGGTAAGCGACCTGCGAGCTGGGACTGCGCGGTGATTGGCCGGCAGCAGCATAGGGCTTGGCCGAAACAGGCCTAGCTTTGTTTACCTTGGCCGCCCACTGCCTGCCCGAAGCGGAAATCAACAACAAACAACGGCCGTGGCGGGAAGGCGCCGCCCGCGCCGAGTGGCCCAGCAACCACCAGCCTCCCCCCGGCCGCCCTTATAACCCCGTCGCCCGCCGCTGTTCCTCCTCCTCTTCTCTTTACCTCCTCAACTGCACCCTCTTCACCGACTCGCTCCGTCGACCCTTTTGTTTTTCGAGTCTTTTCTTGTCTCGCCTTTCGACTTGTTCTCGAGCACTTCGAAAAGGCATTCGAGAAAAGACCCCCCCGCTCAGCCAATCTGGACTTTGACGCCCGCGTCCCCATCCCCTTCAGTGTCTTCCCGTCGTCGTACCGGAGTGACGCTGTCTCTGAGACTACTCATTCAAGAGTAGAGGGAGAGGTCAAGTTAACGGGCGCCGCTGCTTCGCGCGTCGGACGGGAAGATACTCACCACGAAGGGCCGCTCCCAGCTCCCAGAGTCCACGGAAACGAAGAGGTTGACCACCGCTACTCCAAGACCGAGTATCGCCCTGTTCGAACCCAAATCCGTGAGGACTATCGTGTCTACGAAGAAGCCCCTCCTGCTGCTCGTGAGAGATACCCTGAGGTAGATCTCGCTCGTGAACAGTAAGCAAAGCTTTTCTACTTTTATTACCCACTATTTCGCTCACCCCAGCTTAGATACTACGAGACCAAACAGGAACGCAAAGGTTTCCAGGCTCAACTCGACGTAACCGAGCACGAATATCGCCGACGAACAGACCCTAACTACTCTGTTCAGTACGAATCTGTGCGTCCGTATCCAAACGAAACACGAGAGGTTGACGCGTCATACGATCGTGTCGACGAATACACCGAGACCTACAAGCCTCGCCCACACGTCCGTGAAGTCGATTACGATTCCAGCTCCAACCGCTTCGACAAGACTGTTGAAGTGATCAAAGAGCGTCGAACCGTCCACGACACTCCAACCCAAAGAATGGGATATTACGACGACGAGGGACAGTATCATTCTTTCCGTCGTGGTGTTGAGCGTGCTGCCGACCGCATCTTGCATCCTTTCCACCATCATCACCACCATCACAAGGAAGAAATGGTTTCCGAGGATCGCCCAGTCCGCCGTGAGGCTCCACGTGAGACCGTGAGAGTCATCCAGCCCCGTGGCGGCCACCCCCCTGGCACTATCACCATTCCATGCCACTTCATCCGCATTGGTGATCTCCTCATTCTCCAGGGTCGCCCTTGCCAAGTGATTCGCATTTCGGTCTCCGCCCAGACTGGACAGCATCGTTATCTTGGTGTTGATCTTTTCACTGGTCAACTTCATGAAGAGTCCAGCTTTGTATCTAACCCATCTCCCTCTGTTGTCGTTCAGAGCATGCTCGGACCCGTCTACAAGACATACCGCATTCTTGATCTCCGTGATGACGGCCATATCACTGCCATGACCGACACCGGTGACATCAAACAGGGCCTCCGCGTCATCGACCAAGGTGGTCTTTTCAACCGCATCAGTGATGCCTTCGCTGATGGAAGAGGAAGCGTCCGTGCTCTTGTTATCAACGATGGTGGCCGTGAACTTGTTGTCGACTACAAGGTCATCCATGGCTCTCGCCTCTAAATATTTTATGTAACATGAATCTTGATGAGTGCTGGAAAAAGGGCTGATAATTTGATGGAACATAGCCTTCTGGGTCAATACTTGGAAATTTCCTTATCTTTGAGTGGTGGTCTTAGAGTTTCTTTGTTTCCTATTTTTCCTTGTCACCTCTGAAATGCTGGGATTTGGTTGATGGATAACTTTGGTAGCTTCTGGCTTGTATACTCAATCTAGCTGAATCAATTGACATTGACCCTTAACCAATTTGTCCTTTTTTGTCTACTGTTCCCTTACTTACTCTGTACTACATCCTATGTGTAGCGTTCCAGCGACTATCTACTGCAGGTTCTGTCTGCCAGGTGCATCTGCGTGGGTATTGATACTTGCAGTGTCAGCATCGATATCTTCCAAGTATGTCATTCACAGTGCCTCTTAAAATATTCATGATTCACTTACACATTATGCTTGGTTAGCTACCCACTCCGTCCAGAGGATGGAACAATGATATGGCCAACTGCTGAGGTCTTGATGTATGTCGATCCACTAATCCGTATTGCCATGCTTGACAACCAGCTATACAAGCAACAGTGCCCGGTACTGTCTGCTTCCAAATTCCAACTTTATGGCATTGGTCTTCAAGGATGTGAAGAAACAGGAAATTTTATACCAAGGAGTTTGGTTAAGACAATCCCATTATTTGATTAATTTACACAATTCATGCTTTGATACCTCCAAATGCCTCATTAGACTGCATTAAACCAGGCCTCAGAAAATTATGTGTAGAAAGAACAGTTTCCGCAGAACTCCTGCCTTAGGAAAAAACACAATGATAGAGGGGAAAAAAGTGGATAGGTAAAGAGCTCAAGGTCTCAGACCATGTTAGAGAACAAGAGAGCTGGGTGGTGGAAGAGGTCTGGGGATATATCTCCTGATTTCAGCAAAAAGTAAATTACTGTTGTTGTAGTAAGGGCATTTAAAAAACAGAGAAAAGATAATAGCAACGAAAAAAATCAGTGGAGATTGAAAACACCACGATGAGAAAACTGGTTCTCCAAATAATGTGCATCAGCTCACCAACACGCCCCTGGTTCAGTTTCTTTTTGTTGTCCTCCCAAATTAATAACCAACGCCGTGCTCCTGATTCATGTGCATCAATTTCCAAAAGATTCATAATTGTTTGTGACAATGAACAATTGACCATTCATCTTGGAAGAAGAGTGTAGAGGGCAAAAGGTGAATCGCTCAATGCAATGCCGCGTATCTGTGCATGCAAATGGCATAGCACTTTAAGCAGCGCAGGTGCTTTCATCCCTCATGTAAAAACGCCCATCCAAGGGTGATATTGGACCGAAGAAAAGAGAAAGAAACCAAATCATAGTCGCCCCGCCACAGATGTCAATAATCGTACAAGGTAATAAGAAGGAGAATAAAGCTGCCGAGTGAAGTGATATGGCAATGGCACAGTCAGTATGTAGAGACCAGCTGCATCAATACCACTTTGTGTGTTATTTCTCGCCATACTTTCCAAACTCCTGCTGCCATTTGAGCAGACCGCGGGTAAGCTCGTCCATCATTTCTCCACTAGACAGATCTTTGAAATCTCGTGCGGGGGGAAGACAACCATCCAGTAGCGGGCCAGCAGCTTCAGCAATCGCACAAATAGGAATGTCCCCATTGATAACGGCACCTTCTATGGCTGCTGCAACGGTAGTGCTATCTGGGGCGCGGGTGCCATTGCTGCCTGCTCTATTCGGTGGGGTGGTTTGCTCCCCGGAAGCCGCCATCTCGACTTGCATCCGCGAAATAAATTCAAGAATAGCTGCAACACGCCTTCTCATATCGTTCATCGTAGTTCGATTGGGGTTCATATAGCGGGGTCTGCTAGGCTTTCCAGATTCCCCTCCGTTTGTTTGCACACCGTTCGCCCCATTGTTTCCAGGGGAGTCACCGTTCTCTTCGCGTGACTGGCCACGTCGAGGTGAATTGTTCTGATCCCCAGTGCTGTTTCCATTGGCCATATCGCGATCTCGAGTATATTGGTTGCGACCAACACGACCGCGGCGCGCTGGAGGACGGCCCGATTTTCGAGCTGACGGTTTTTGTGCAGGTGGTGGGGGGATATCTGAAGTCTCAGGGGCTGACTGAGGGGGCACAGAACCGTTTACAGTAACTTTCGTGGGGGAGGTAGCGTCAAGCTCTGAGTCTATCATGTACGAGGAACGTTAATTCCGAGCAGGAAGAGAAGCTAAAGTAAAGGAAACACCCACCATCATCCTTCCTTCGATCGGACCGACCTTTCCGTCGACCGGTAGGTTCTGGGGGAAGTTCTTTCTCGGTGTCTTTTTCAGGGGCAACGGCTTCTTTCTCACGTTGATTTCTGGTGACTGTTCCCCTGGTCTTTTTGCTACCATTGGCGGTAGATCGCGGCTTTTCTTCATCAGATAATTGCCGAGATTGGGGCTGCGCCGACTTCGATACAATGGAAGAAGATGAGGGAGATCCGGTACGTTGCCGCTTTGCGGAATGTTTAGGTCTGCAAATAGGCTATTGTTAGGACACAATCCAGATACATAGTGTGAGACATAATGGAAATTAAATGTAATCATACGTTTCACTACCGCTCCGGTTTCTTTTCCCTCGGCGGCTAGAGGTATCTTCAGCAGCAGACTTGCTTTCCTCTTTGCTCTCCTCAATAGCCCGGCGCAACAGATCCTCTTCATCGTACGCGGCTTCTCGGCTGTTCATGGTAGATCGTCGTTTTGGTGGGTCTCCATGGTCCTTAGATTTCTTGTCTTTGGCGCTTCGGGAGGTACCTCGAACAGAAGAAGTTGAGGAAGGAGGGGAGGGCGTCCCAGCGACCGGGAGATACTGGGAAGACTTTTGACTGCGAGGCCGTAAGCGTGAGAACCACATTGTAGACAAGAAAGGCTCAGATTGAGTATAAATTAGGTGCAAGGCAAAGCTTTGGTGAGAATGAAATGGGTTGATGTTAAAAAAGGGCCACGAAGGAAGAAAAAGGGTAGTAGGGTCAATTATTTGAGCAAAGCGTTGAGAATATTATGATCGGGTAGTGAATGGGCTCAATCGGGATCGAAAATGAATGAATGGCTTACCCGCTACCGCTGACAACCAGCCTGTGTAGGTCTTTTCGGCATTTTTCGCAAAAGTATTCATCTGGGCTCAAGGCTTCTTCCATGATGCCCACGCAGCCGCCATGCTGCCACACCTTACAGGAATCGCACTGGATAAATAAGCTGCCAGCGTCCTCGGACAATATGTCCAAGGCAGCCGGGTCTTGGTTGGATTCTTCTTTGATGCCAGCCTTCAGCGAGTTTCTCGCCATCATCTCACGAGCAGACGGCGGCAGGCCCGGGTAATCCTGCTGCCCACAGATACACCTTGTTATTTCCTCCTCTTCGCCATCTTCGTCTTCGAACTCGTCGTTTACGGGAGGTTTTTCGTCATCGTCGCGACCTCGCTGTCGCTGGCGAGTATGTGGGACGTCATGCCTTGAGCGCGCATCGGCGTCGTCTACAGATTGCGATGGAAGCGTCGAGGATCTCCGCGACGAGGAGAGCTTATTATTCGACCGTGTGTTTCGTTCGGGTCTCCCGAGCGAGTTTGAGGAACTGGAGGAGGCGGAATGGTGGAGGACACCGGCGGGTGCTTGGGACGCGCGAGCTCGAGAGGAGCGACGAGGCGTCATGGCTCCAGGCGCGATTCGAGGAGGGGATCGAGGGTAAACTGCAGTAGGGAGGAATCGAGGTAGTCAGAAATTACAGGGAAGTTTAGAAGTAGATAGTTGGCAAAGAAGTAGCTCTGGGGCGTGAAGCTGCGTAGGAGAGGCCAGGCGCGGGCAGGGGGAGCAATCCAGGTGGAGGGCAGACAATTGACGAAGGGTACAAGCGGTCAAAGGGCTCGAGGGCCGTCAGACGGCATAAGAAGAGCGAGAGTAGAGAACTACATGCTCTAGAACGGCGGGTGCTGGGGCTGGGAGGCAGAAAGTGGGAAGAAGTTCGCGAGCGGAGATTTGGGAGAGCAGAAGAACGGATGGATCATTCGCTAGTTTGGTTCCCCGCGCGCGCCCGTCAGCAGCAACGCCGAGCGAGCAGCAGGCCCAGCGTTGCCTTCTCCCGCCCATTATTCCACCACGGCTGCACTCCCGCCCTCCGTCCGCGTCTGATGGTGGCTTTGGATGAGAGGCCGCTGCGGGCTTGGGCACCGTGACTCTCTGCGATGGCTCGCAACACGCCCTGCCGCCTCCACTGCGCGGCCTCGCGTCGAGTCTTCTCTCTGAGCAGTTGTCGATCCGCCCGATGCCTGCAGGCTCTCGGTCCCTACAAACTGACCCCGTCGCAGATCGTGTTCTTCGCCGCGTGCCCACACGTTGTTGACGCGTTTCCACGCCTTTTCCTCGCCGGTCCGGGTTGGTTGTCCACCGTGGGCGTGCAACTGAGCGAAGCCGACGACTGGGCAAACTTGTTTCCCAACGGCCAGCGGTTTCAATTTCCTAATATTACTACAGGATCTATGTTTCTGTCTCATCATGCCTCGCAGCGCTCGTTTTTAGGGTTCTAGACTGCTCGACACCCGCGCTGGGCCAGCGTGCCGCAACGGCGGTGTGTGCTCAAGCAGCGCCCAATCCTCCCGTCCTCCCCGTGCAGACAGCGTGTGATCAGGTGATATGTGCGAGGCCATGACGGCCGGATAGTGTGTGAGGCAGGAGAGCTGGGGTGGTGGCGGTTCAGTCGATGGAGGGCCTGGCTGCGAGCAGGGTGCAGGCCAGGCTGTGGGAGTGTGGCAGGTCACGAACTAGTTAGTTAACTAGAGTACCCGTCCACTGTCTGCCCTCCTCAGGGCCCCGGGCTGGCCGCACGCCCGGCTGCCCGCTGCGTAGAAGCCGTAGTTCGCCGGCCAGCGGCTGCCGTGCGTGATATCGCGGTTGACAGACAGGCGAGGGGGCGCTGCGTGTCCCAAAACGGCTAGTGTGGCGTCCGGTGATTGGCGACGACGCTTTGCACGAAAGAGGAAACCCGAAAGCTCAACGACCGAGTGTCTTCCCGCCTGCCCACCACCTCGTTCTCGCCAGAGCCTGCCGACACCCTGTCCAACGCTGTGCCCTGTCTTGTCCTGTTCTGCTGAGTATTGTATGCTCCCCCTGCCCGCTCCTGCCGCCCGCCATCGTGCTGGCCGGCTCTCGCTACTCCCACCACCTCTGTCTGACCCTCAATGCCGCAGGATCTGTCATCGCTGAAGGCCTTGCTGGCTTGTTGTGTAAGTGGCACGCCCGCTGTGGTGCTCACTCCCGTATAGACCATGTCTGGTGGGCCGATTTCTGCCCGGAGTCGAGCTCTTTGAGGAGGAACGAGGCCATTGTGTCATAGCAGCTGACTTGGCTTATTCCGGAGATTAGATCGTCAACACTCATTCAGACGCCGGACTAAAGCATTGCCATTCTCGCGTGAAAGAAATTGCTGCCAAATCTAGTCTTTTAACTTGTTTGGGTATTGCTTGAGTAGGGGTTGTGATAAATATGGCTGCTACGTTGAGTATGTGCCCAACCAGACTAACTAGGCATCGTGGGCCCTAGAAGCGGTGGAGGGCATCCCTAGGCACTGGCCTGTAACCTCTGACTCCTTGGACAACCAACATCTCTGAACTCTAGTTACTGATGGGTTCAATACGCAGGCGGGACTTACACCTCCGCTCCCGACACACCATCCCCGGTTTTCCCTGATCGACTTATCAGACCTCTGCCAAAGCGTCCAATTCGTGCCCGTTTATCCCCCGAAACCGCCGATTCCATCCTTTTTCCACCGTCTCCCCCGGCGACCCAGCTGTTCTACACCTCGTACGCTACCAACGGAGATGTCGTAAACGGTGCAAAGGTTTTCGTGCAGCGAGCTAGTTATGGATTTGAGAACAACCCCGATGACGACCATCACATATATGAAGACGGGGTAGAGTCTGATGAAGATGGGCCTGTTGTTGTGCGGCGGAGTATAGGGCTGCACCGGTCGTCTTTGCCTCCTTCGGAATTTGTGAAGCATATGGGCTCTCCTTCCAAGGCAAGCTCAAACGGTCTCGATGGCTACGATGCATTTGAAAACACAAACAATAAGAAGAAGCGGAAAATACCTACATCTGGCGGTTTAGGCTGTCATTCGTCCCTTTCAGCTGATATTTTAAGCATCAGCCCTTCCAGTGCACCTGCTGTCAATTCTCGGCCCCTGGAGGAGTGCAGCGGCAACGCTGCTTATTACGCATCCAGTCATGCTATTTCCCCGCCTAGCTCTGGTATTTCCGGTTCTGGACGTGGGAGGTTTGGCCGAAATGCCGTCCGTTCTGGTAGTGGAAGAACTTCTTCGGGTAGCTTCCCTGTCAACTGGCCCAGTCACCGGCCTGGTGGCAACCGCCGTGACGTGCCCTCTCCTAGTCAAGAACAATTCGGTATGGGTCGTTCCTTCTTTCTGGGCGTTATTAGCCAATCTAATACTTCTTCACAGGTGCAGCAAAACATCACGACCAAGGTATCATCTCGACTGCCATTGCTAATGCAGCAGCATTTTCAGCCATGTCAACGCAAACAAAGGAGGCCACAAGCCTATTGGATCAGCCGCTGAAACCTGCGCCTGCAAAGACGCAATTTACCTTCACTTGCGAGTCTGATTCTTCTAAGGGAATGGCGTCTTGGCCAATGCATAGCGTCTACCCTCCTATCCAACAGCATCGACCAACTTTTCAACCCACTGCTAGACCTGGCTCGGGGCAGAGAAGATTTTCAACCCAGGGCACGCAGACCAGCCCCAACGTAACATCACAGGTCAATCAGCAGAGCCAACCTGCTCCCAGCCATCCTACCCAGGCAGCTCCGCCGCCAGCGCAAGGGAAAAAAGCCCGTAGATCGCCTCGAGCCGTATATGCGTTTGCTGCTCGCCAGCGCAGGCTTCAGCAGCAGTACACAAATCTACACCATCCACCTAACATTGAGGACATTTGGATTTGCGAGTTTTGCGAATATGAGAGCATCTTTGGGCACCCACCCGAAGCCCTGATCCGGCAGTATGAGATCAAAGATCGAAAAGAGCGGAGAAGATTGGCAGAGAAACGGAGGCTGTTAGAGAAAGCCAAGCTGAAGGGCCGCAAAGGAAAAAAGCAGCCCAAAAACGCGGGGAAGAACGCAGCCGCCCAGCAGCCAGCTTATCAGCAAAACTATGATCGGCAGTCGATGCCAGACCAATCCATAGAAGGCCAGGAGGGGCAGGAAGACTACATAGGATCTATGGACGCTGAAGAGTATGGTGACCAACTACCACCGCCACCTCACGCACCGCATGGTAGCCCAAACAGACAGCCTGCTGCCGCTCGTGGAAACCCAAAGCATACAGCAAGCCAGGGCCCAGGTGAACTTGACGGGAGTGGACCGGGCCGTGCTGGATGATGGGTAAGTGGGCAATCAATCTGCGTTCATTGTTGCGATGGGTGCGAGGGCTTCTGTCTTTGGTGCTCGAGAGGAATGGCGCTTTTTGCTTGCTTGTTTGACCTTCACATCCGCGTGATCTGTTGGTGTTTTCATATCGGTCTCATCCCCCTTTCCTACCTGCTTTCGATCATTCTCTGCATCTTTCTTCGTCGAAGGACTGCTTGAACACCGGCAGTACTATCTCTACTCAAGCCTGTCTTTCTTTTCATTATTTTTGGGTGGTATGCTGCTCAAAATGCCTTTATTCTTCCCCTACCCCCCTTTCCCCAATCCAAATTCCCCAATTCCCCTTTCCTTTCCCCCTCTCCCGTTGCCATTATCTTCCCCTTCTTCCCCTTCTTCCCCACCACTGAAACTCTCACGATCACTTGTTGCATGAGCGTATTGGAATATATGCAGGAATAGCGAGATTGGAGTCACACTTTGAACCATGTCCGAGGGCTCGCAGACCCAGCACATACGAGCATGCTCTGTTAGCGCCATGTGCTGGTTCTGCCTCTGCCCTGGACGCGGGCATGAGTACATATTGGTCGTGTTTCAAGGGCCGTTGGCGGACTAGCTGCTGACTACAAGGACCAGCCACGGCCGTCGCGTTGCTTTCAATTCCGCACCCTAGACTATAGATATTGTTAGGTTAGCCTTTAACTCCTAGGGTGGAATAGCGAGCAGTGTGTCTTCTGATTGTCCTCCGTAGAGATGATGTGTCCGCATAGAGTTCCGGCTAGTTCGCGGGACGGCCAACGGCGTTTCTGGGGGCCAAAAGCCAACTCTCGACGCCCGCAAATAGAATCGCGACGATCGCCTTTCATCCGCATCCTCCAGGCGGCCGAGTCTGGGGCCGGGCGCTTGCTGCAACACGCCAGTGCGATCCCAGCGCGAGCTTAATCGAACGCGAGACAGCCAACCGTCGCGCCGTTTCTTTTAATAGCCGCTGATGCCATTCTGCAAGTGCTGTTTCATGCCGCCTGGACGACATCGCGATGCTCGACCGTGATTGATCGCTCGACCTGGTTCTTCAGAGGCGACCGCCCTGCAGAGTCTCTGGCTGTGGCTCTCGATGCGACGTGGCCCCACGGCATATAACTTAAGGGGAGGGATAAGAAAAGCGGCAACCTTGCGAAGACTCAGCTCGCTTTGGCTTCTCGACGGGGGCTCTCCAATGCAGCCAAAACACATATATACCCGCTGCTGGCCGGCTCGGTCGGACGCTGTTTTCTCGCTGGCCAACCTGTCTCTCTTTCTCATCGTCGCTGCGCTTGTTCCCGTTTCTCTTTTCCTCTTTCGTTTGTTGTGTGTGTTGTTTTCCGTTCTATAGATCCTGATCACGCTTCCATTGTCTCCTGAACACAGACCTCCACGCAATAGAAATCCACTCTCTTCTTCCTATTGTATATCGTGTCTCTTATTGTCTGCTTGAATACGTTCCTTGACGGAACTTGCAGTTTCTCGTCTGCTTCACTCCCCAAGTGCTGAGCACTTGCTTCCCTCGCCCTGCTGCTGTGAATCTGGCCTGGTGCCCACTTGCATCTCTCTCTCTCTCTCTCTCTCTCTCCTCTGCTCTGTTCTGCTGCATCTTCACTTGAAGACTTTTAATCTTCACTTTACGCCTTGACGACTTTCATATCTCGCTACTGAATTTCCCCTTCCTGCCTCCTTATTGTCGATTTGTCTTCTGCCCTGTAGCACCTCTTTCCCAATCTCCTTCGCCTACTTTTACCCCTCGAAAATCTCTCAATTATACCTGTTTGCACAGACTCGAAGCTATAGAACAACACCATGGCTTTCCTCAGGTCTCTCGTCGTTGATGGCGTGAAAAAGCGCTACAGTCCCGGCAATATCATCACCACCATTATCGAATGCTGCTTTCGATTCTTTCAATTTGTCTTCGCCATCGCTGTCATCGGCTTATACGCCCAGGATGTTGAACGCGCAAGAAAAGCGGGCATTTCCATGAGTCCTCTCTCAAAATGGGTATGCATACATACCAAAGACAACTTCCTACCCCCCTGACCGTCTCCCCTACTAACCCAACCCACGCACCGCCAGATCTACGCCACCGTCATCGGCTCCATCTCCTCCATCGCCGCCATCCTCTACCTACTCCTCCCGTGCGCCATCCAGCGGCCGCTGTCCAGCTTCCGCATGCTCCAACTACCATGCTTCGCCTTCGACTCGCTCCTGTCCGTCCTGTGGCTCGTGCTCTTCGGCATCTTCGCCAAACTCTACATCAAGGTCGACTACAAGGACGACGCGGGCCTGCGCCGCATGCACCATGCCGTCTGGGTGGATCTCACCAATCTGTGCTTCTGGCTGGCCACCACGATGTGGTGCGGCCTGCGGTGGTGGCGCGGTGACCGCGCGGCGAAGCAGCAAGGGAAGAATGCCGAGTTTGCGGCCGAAGAGGGCCAGATGCAGCAGATTCGCTGATTGATAATTTTCTTTTTTTTTTTTTAATTGTATTTCTACGTGTTTGAAGGGAAGGATAAGAAGATTGGTTATCGATGGTGTGCCAAATTCTTGCATATGCATTGTCCTGGGGTTTTTGTGTTATTAGTCCAGCTCCTCAGCTGGCAACTTGATTTCGCTTTGCATCATAATAACTGGTTAGCATTTATGGTTATGGGCTCAGTTTGTTTTTACTTATGAGTATTAGCAGGTATCCGGTGCCAATAAAGTTTCGTATGGCTGATAATGCTAGTTTTGAGTATGCTCTGCTAGCTGCTTATATTTAAAAAGATTTTCGGTTCATAACTTCATATTCTTATGCAAGATGGAGTAACTACCGTAGATTCATAGAGCCTCGCTTCCCTTCCGCTAATCATACACATCTCCGAATGCGCCTGCATGCCTATCCCCCAATGCATGTATTGTCTTCCCATATACCTCCCCAGAGTGGACATTGATTATTTATCTTAGTAATCTTTTGGTGTTTCATGTTCTTGTGGAGTAATTGCTGATTGTTTGGATTTCTCCCCTGCCCTCGTATACTTCACTAATTGCTTCTTATTCACCTTCATTCTTTCAGTCTTTCCTCTTCAATTAATCTGGCCAGATAGCTCTCCTGCCTCTGCCGCACCGGAAGCCTCAGACTTCCGCCGCGTGACACGGGAATCTGGGCTGCAGCTGACAACGTGCGAGAGAGCAAGGCTTCTGGAAGCTCGCTCGAGTAAGCATCTAGTCGAGAAGCGGTGGAAGTATGAGTACCGTTGGTTGATTCGGGGATTAGTAACGGGTCGGTGGGCGCTGGGGAGATGGATAATGAAAATGACTCGTCGGACGAAATTAAGCTGGTGAGCGACGACACGCGAGCCTCACGTTGAGGTTTCTCGACAAAGCGTGCTCGAAAATCTTTATCAACTAGCGGAGTGGTAGAAACGGGCTGAGCTTCAGGTATTGGTTCTGCAGGGTTAGGGGGTGCTTGCGACTGCTGTTGAGTAATGGCCTTGGGCGTCGGTTGGTGCTCTGGGGGTACAGTGTTTTCTGTGTTGTTAGCAGCTGGTGGGCCATCGTATAAGGGGGTGGAAGTATGTTTGTGAGGCGGACTGGATCGGTCGGAAAGAAGGGCTGGTCTCGATGGTCTGGATAGATTGGTTGTTTTGGGGGACACTGTAAAAGTTAGTATTGTATATCACGAGCATACGACTCGAAGGCAAAGATAAGAAACACATACATTCTTCTGGAATTTGTATTATACTGGAAGCATTTGGTGGGCGGTGCTCGAAAAGATGGCTGTGAAAGTGAGGTGTTCTGTTTATAGACAGGTTGGCTTTTGGAATGTTTTCTGGGTACTGCATCGATGAGGGATTCGACACTCGAATAGTCCTCTCACTTCTGACAGTAAGTTGAGCTTGTGGGGTTAGATTTCTTTTCACTTTCCTCCTAACGCAAGGACGTGGAGGGTATGGCTTTAAAGTTTCGCTGTCATCCGAACTCTCTCCCGGCGTAAACACAACCCTGGTGCTCTTTCGAGGGGTTTGTGATGATGGCGATGACCGTGATGGTTTCTTGAGAATAGAGGGCGGGAGGTTGGTCTGGCAGCCTCTTTCGGAATACATCCTGGACATATGAGTGGCAGAACCGTCTTTACTGGGGGAAGACGGAGAATGCAGGCCTGGGGTTGACGGTAGCCCGGGGGGAGAATCTCTCAAAATGGACCCCAGTTCCTGTTCCGGAGTTAGATGGTCTATACAGCGGGTAACTGGAGGGTGGCTGCCAACCTCTCGATCTCGAGTCCACAACGGGCTCTCATCAGATATCTGGGTGAAAAGGGTAGCCAAGGTCGAGCCGGTGATGGTGGAGCTGATGCGGCCATTGCTCCATATCCTCCAGAAGAGGTTCTCCAGACGGCGGCCAGCCCCACGTTTCAAGGTGACTTTCGTGGTGGTATAGACTGGGCCAGATCCGGTCAGAGCAGACTCGGAGATGAAAGAAGGAAGAGAACACACCTCGCCAGAGCTTTGCCACGTCCTCGATTTCAACGGTGCCGGGCGCTTGGAGGTCGGAACTCACACAGTCGGTGTTTGACACCAGGCCGCGGGGAAGAGCGCCAGCCATTGCGGGAAGCCCCTGGAGGGTGCTTTTTGACAGCGAGCAGAAGCGAGAGTGCAGCACACAGCGCGCGGGTATAGCTAGCAGACGGCCAGGCACGCAGGCTAGAACATGGGTATCCGCGGAAGTCAGACGGCGAGGAGTGTGAGGCGCGTAGTTAGCTGCTGTCACATTCTTAGCGGTGGCGGGCTGTGAATGGAGTGCAGCACAGCAGGACACGGGCACAGACAGGCATGGGAATAGACAGGCACAGAGAGCAGAGCGAAGAAGCACAGAACAGAGCAGAACAGAGCAGAGCAGAGCAGAGCAGACAAAGAGCAGCGGCGGGCTGGCCAGGCAGCTCGCGGGCGGTGGAAAGCCGGGTGACTCACGTGAGGGAACCAGCTGACCGCGACGAGCGCGATCGTGAAGCAAAAAAGAAACGGGCGAAGGGCGCTGACCGCCTCGCAGGTCTCACGCTGCACCGGCAACAGGGCCGCGGCAGCTTGCACGGCGGGCCATCGCAGGCGTTGAGAGTGCAGAGAAGAAGAGGCACAGGCACAGGCAGAGTCAACAGCCGGAGTCAGAGCGCAGCTCAGTCGCCACGCAGGCGAGGGCTAGTCTCATCTGGCCTGGCCGGGTCTGGTCACTCTGGCTGGCATCACCCGGAGTAACCACTCACTAACTAACCACCATCGCGAGAATGCTTCACTAACTAACCCGTTAACCCGCTCACTAACCGCTTCACTACTGACTAACTAGCTACCTAGCTAGCCAATTCACTTCCGCTAATGCTGTATCCACGTTGCGCCCCATCCCTGCCTCCGATCCAGGGGAGCTCCCTGCCCGCCCCCGACCGTTGATAAAACCTGAGCCGGCCAGTGATCTCGCCTGCTGGCCCGTGTTTCACCCTGTCGAGCCCGCCGCTGCCCCTGGCCGTGACGTCCTGACTCTTCCTTCCGAGCTTGGGCCTCCCGCAATCCTACTCTGACAGCACCCGCCGCGCCCCCCTCGCCCGCTGCTCACCGACTCGCCGTGCCTGTTTTTCGTTGGCCCCAACCACGCCAGACTGACCAGATGCCGTGCCAATCGTCGTCGAGACCGGCCTCCTGCTTCTCTCAGGGCGCCCAACCGTCTCTCAGCACCGTCAAGCCGCTGCCAATGCGGCCTGTTGGCCTCTCCCCAAACGGGCAAAATAGCGACCGCATTCGTCCACAACAGCTCCGCGGATGAGCGGCATTGCGACCCTCAAGGACGTGTGTGGTTGCCTCGGTTCTCGCTGTCATCACATTTTCGATAGCCGCAACGGCTAGTCATGCTGACGATCCTACACTTCACCTTGATTGCTGGATCATGCTTTGGTGTTTCTTCACAATCTAACCCCTGTGATGCCGCATGGCTCCTGCAAGGATTACAACCGATCTCTTTGCATACTGATTGAATATGGTAGGAGATGCGAGGTTGTTTGTCTGTGTGTATGTGATCCCAGACGTGAATCCTCTTGCTTTGTCTTTTTCCCTCAAGGGCAAAGATTTTATTGGCTAGCCCCCCCAGGCTTGCCCAGGCTTCTCGAACTTGCCGTCTTTTCAAGGGGCCCGCTGTTTGATTGCCGGCCAAACGGAGGCTTGCAGAGACAATTCTCTCCTTTTCTCGGGATCCTTATGGACGCCCTAGAAACCCAACCTCACTTCCCTATCTTTTATATAACCCCCCTGTCGCGCAAGGCGAATCGGGGACGCCCGGGGTATTTTAGCAATACGGATTGACGGGCGGACCCGAGAAAAGAGGCTACCGCCTCCCTAGTCGTTTCGGCGCGATCCTTGTGCGCGATGGATTACGATCTTCCCCCGCCCAGCTTCGACGCCAATCGGTGCTCTTGACACGCTCATAGCCGCATTATGATGATCATTATCTTTTTAGTCCTCATTTAAAGCCTATAAGGCAATTTGGCTTTGACCTTCCTCCTTGACCTACCTCGCGTCATTGCCTTTGCGGCAATGATTGCAGTTTCGGAGCAAAGATCACCGCCATTTGTGATAACAGGGGACACAATGATACGACGGGCGGTGTGAAATGCTTGATCTCGGGTTTCTGCATGGGGCATGTGAGAGAAGGATGCGCTTTCGCGTCACATGTCTGGACGTGTACCTGTGACTTCGACAGTCACCCAGCTACGGAATTCCACCGCTCCTATCAACTTACCTGGGGATACTCAGTACACTTCTCGTGTCCAGATAGTCATGTTTCGTAATTCCCCATCATTTGTGTGAAAACAAGGAACTTAACTAGATTTAATGCTGGAAAATCTTGAGCATATGTCAGTCGCTCCTATTTTTCTTGTAGACTATCAAATAACCTTGCTGGGAAGAAACTGTTAAAGTTTTTTTAAGATGACAAGATCCCGTCTGCATACGAGGATACAGAACTTATCCGAACCAGTCATCTTTCCCGCCTTTGATGTGCTTTGATTTAGCACTCTCGTATGTCGCTGGAGACAGTCGCCCAGCAGGTACTTAGTTCGTTTTGGCGTAAGCAAGTCCTTGGAGCCTACGTATGCCAGAAAACTTAATATTTGTCAAAACGGCCTATTTCACTAGCGATAGGTTTCTATTCACTAGCCAATCTCTTTCAAATAGAAGTCCTAAGCCGCTCAAAACAACTTAGAAACTCAATTGAGTACAGCAGTCAACATAGTGCCCTCTAGTTTTAATCTTCCTATATATAGGAATATTATCCCTCTCATAAGTCATGATCGAGGCTATGAAATGTAACAGTCGATGCTACACAATTCGCGACACTGCGCCGTCATACATACGCCGCCGCTTTCCCTCCTTGTAAATCCTTCGAGGAGATGATGCTGACGTATTTAGGGCCTGGCCAATCAGCGCGTGGCCCGACGGGGCTTGAGTTTCCCCGCACCGCACAATCTTATCAGATCGCTAGTGCCAGATCGGACCCACAATAAAGCTTGGCTCTATTGTGTTGGTACCTTTTATGCCGCCCCCATTTATGCACTTTTTTTTAATCGGGTGCGCCTGGGTGTGTATTATTCATGACGCCATGGAGGAATCTGGTATTATTACAAAGTCTTTGCGCCAATGTACAGAAATATTGAACACCATCAGTCCTTCGCCTCCTCTATGTCAAGGTATATCCTCCATCAACTCGCATGTCGGCGCCCGTGACATACTTGCTCGCATCGCTCAACAAAAATGTCACCGCACCCATGAGGTCCTCGGGCTTGCCCATTTTCCCTTGAGGTATCAATGACGTCCACTTCTGTTTGAGATCGGAGTTGTCGTCGAGAATCTTGCGGGTCCTAGATAGACAGCACGGTCAGAACGCTGTTCTACTGGTAATACAAAAAGCGAAGAAGAAGAGAAGGCGCCCCAACTTACAAAGCAGTCAGCATGTATCCAGGGCTAATACAATTCACCCTGATCCCCACGCTTGCCCATTCAACCGCCAGCGAAGCAGCCAAGTGCCTGATTGCCGCCTTTGCGGCGTTGTATGGCGCCTGGGGCTGGGGCACATTGACAATGGCACCGGACATACTGCCAATCATCACGATGCTGCCCGGAGATTTGCGAGACATGAGGTGTTTGGCGACCGCCACTGCGTAAAGATATGACCCGTCAACATTGACCGACCACAGCTTTTGCATCCGGTCGTGCGGATAGGATACGGCGTCGAAGTTCTCGGTGAAGCCGGCGGACGTGACTAGGTGATCAATGCGGCCGTGCTCCTCCAGAATTTCTGCGACGCTGTTGTCGACGGACTCGGGGTTGCCGACATCGGCTTGGTGGGCCGTGATCTTGGGGAGCGATTTCTCGCTGAGCCCGGGGTTTTCGGCTTGGAATTGCTCGAGCATATTCTTAGCCTGATCTTGGGCTTCTTGGACTGAACAAAAGGGAGGTATATTATTAGCTATGCTGCTCCATTGGCAACGAACAGCGATATTGGAACCGAGCTCACCATTCAAGTCCACAATTGCTAGATCCGAGCCTGATGCCACCAATGCCTGCCCCATCACCAACCCCAGCCCTCTCGCGCCGCCCGTGATCACCGAGACCCGGTCTTCGAGGGAGAACGACGCCAGCGTTCGCTTGAAATGCCGTCCCCCACGGCCCTGGACAACAGGCGTCGGAGGCATCTCTTCATCTGGAGGATACTCAACGCGAACACTTTCGTCTATTCGAGCGTAGCGACCCTCATGGTTGCCCGAGGTCTCGCCGGGGTCGGCGGCCGTACTGGCTGACTTCAGAGGATCCTCATCGGAAGGGAATTTCGTGGATATGCTGTGGAGGGCGGGCGTTGACGAGATGAAGGAGCGTGCAGTGGGCGTGAGGTGGGCCGGCGATGGACAGGATGCTCGAGGGAGGGGAATATTCACGCCACGGGATGCATGGCGATAGAGAGATGCTTTGAACATCCCCAGCGCTTTTGTTGTAGAAGGTTCGGGGATTTTGTAGCTGGGTTGAGAACAGGAGATATCTTATGGTAGCTTCTGGTCGAAGCTTGTCTGGAGTCGGGAAACAGGTCAATTGTCAACGAGCGAGCTGCAGGGTCTGCATGGCAAGATTTAATCCGATTGAATGATGATGTAACAAGCGAATTTCGGATTAAACGAGCTCGTTCAAGGCACTCATTCGCCCTGCCCAGTTAGTTTGGATATCTGACAGAAAAAGTGGCTCTCGGAAACTCAATCCAGGATTCATTCACGACACGATTGCTGTAGAAATCACTACTGCGAAGGTCTTTTAGACAAATGGATATCGAAAACGGTGTAAATTGAAGGGGAAAAGACCCAAGGGCTCTAGAACATTTTCTAGTCAAGCCTGTCACTCGTGCGAGAAAGGGATAACTACATAGCTAAGAGCGCTAGCAGGAAGAGGAAGGCCACCGTTCTTCATTTTCGAACTCCTCTAGCTAGTGGCCAAGTGTAGCGAGCCGTCGCAGGCCGGAGCTCCAAGTATTCACGATGCTGATCCTGCAAGAGTCATCTGATGGTAGTGCACGCACGGTACCTTAAAAACTCGCGATGGCCTACTCCGCTGCAACGGCCCGCCTGGAGGGGAGTGTTTAGGGCGGCTCTTTAGCTAGCTTTACCTGGAACGGAGGGTGGCGGGGCGGTGAATTCCAGGCGGTGTGGGGGGCAGCTGTGGGGACCAGCCCTGTAACTTCGGGGGAGGAATAGGGCCCCGAAGAGTGATCGTTAAGTTCACTATTATTAAATTTGGGCAGCAATAATGAATCCACGGCGTTTTGTGGAGCACAGCATCGCTTTTTTTTTTAGTCATTTGGCTACAATTAAAGAAAAAATCGATCATAGTGTACATAATCGCCAGAGCATCGAGGTATTATCATATCTACCTACCCTGACATGACACACGGAAAAACAAGCAACCTCACGCACGCCAACTAGAATCTATTTCTCTTCAGTACCAGCAAACTCCACCAAAGGCGTTCCAGCTTTGCAAATGTCCTGTATGACCGCAATCAGTATTCAAACTCAGAGCATGGGGGAACCAAAACTTACGCCTTGCTTATGTACCACTTTTGATATCACTCCGTCCTGAGGAGCCCTGATCACCGTTTCCATCTTCATACTTTCAATAACAACCAACGGCTGATCTTTCTCCACTTTATCGCCCTCCGAGACCGCCACCCGTAAAATCTTGCATGGCATGGGCGCAATCACACTGTTCGCCGTATCTTTGATGCCCAGTGCCTTCTCCATCCACTTCGCGCGTGGGATTCGAAGACGATATTGCTTCCCTCGTTGGAATACTGTGACATTATCCTCGTCCCGCACCACAGTGGTGTCAAGTCGTGTATGAGGGAAAAATGACGAGTGTACGTTGGGAGCGGTATCTTTCTGGCGGGTAACATTCGTGAATGTCTTTCCGTCGACTGTGATATCAAAGCTGTTGGGTCCGGTTTGTTGGATCTGGGTAGAGAATGGAGTGCCCTCTGGCTCGCCTGGGGCGGTGGCCTGAACGAACGAGAACTGTCGTTGTTGATATGCAGGGCTAAAGCCGATAGTAGAGCCGGCTGGCCCGGCCGAACTGCTGTCCAAGTAACACGCCAAAGTCGCCTGGGCTAATACCTCGGGCTCAATAGGGTCTTTTCTGAACAACTCGTCGCGGTGTTTTTCGATGTAGCCTGTTTCTACCTCGCCCGCTACGAAATCCGCGCTTCTACATACTCGCTTGATGAACTCGATATTGGTCATTGGGCCAGCGACTTCATACTGCTCGAGAGCGGTTGCGAGACTTCGAAGAGCTTCCGTGCGGTCGGCTCCCCTGACAATTAACTTGGAAATCATCGGGTCGTAATGTGAAGAGACTTCATCTCCAGCGACGAATCCAGCATCAATGCGAACGTCTTCCGTCGTTTGAGGGGTGCGAACGTGAATCAGGCGACCTGAATCAGGTACAAATCCCTGGTCAGGGTTCTCGGCGTATATTCTGGCCTCAATGGCATGACCGCTGGTAGCAATCTTTGCTTCCACTTCTTCTTGCGTTAGAGGTAGAGGAGCTCCTTCGGCAACCAAGAGTTGCCAGTGCACGAGATCTTGTCCAGTGACCATTTCAGTGACGGGATGCTCGACCTGTAGACGAGTGTTCATCTCCATGAAGAAGAACTCGCCCGTGTCGTTGTCGAAAATGAACTCAACAGTGCCCGCTCCCTCATAGCCAACAGCCAGAGCAGCCGCCCTGGCTTTCTCCCAGATGTCTTTTCTGGTCGAGTCGACCAGATGAGGGGCCGGAGACTCCTCCAAAATCTTCTGGTGTCGCCGCTGGATACTGCAGTCTCTTTCACCGAGCGCCACGCAATTTCCATGCTTGTCTGCAAATACCTGAACTTCAATATGGCGGGGAGTCGTGATATACTTTTCAATCAGAACCTGATCATCGGCAAACGAGTTTCTTGATTCAGATTTTGCGGAGGCAAGTTGGTCCTGGAACGTCTCCTTCGAGCTGCAGATACGCATACCCTTACCACCGCCTCCTTTGATAGCTTTGATCAAGACCGGATATCCAATTTTGTCTGCTTCTGTCTGAAGAAATTCTGGGTCTTGGTTCGATCCATGGTAGCCAGGTACACATGGAACACCAGCAGCAGTCATGATCTCTTTTGATCGACTATAGTAGCATCTTTTAGCAGCTGTCCGATCGCAGAGAATCCTATAAAACACCAATAGCAACATACCTTTTATCACCCATGGCCTCGATGGCTGTGAATGGAGGCCCAATAAACACGAGTCCCGCCTGTGAGCATTTCTGCGCAAAACCGGAATTTTCACTTAGCTATTCCATGGCGAGTCAGTAAATATAATTTGGGTGCATGACTTCATGGACAGGAGCAATCAGCATACAAAGCCATATCCAGGGTGAATTCCCTTGCATCCCTCCCTCTTCGCAATCTCGATTATCCGGTCTCCATCGAGGTAGGCGGAAGTCTCGCCGAGGTTGAAGGCAAACGGCGAACTCAAGGCATGTTGTGATCGCGCATCGGGGTCGGTATATAACGTAGTTACTCGTACGCCGTGTTGTCCAGCGGTCCTTCCTACTCGTCTGATCTGGCATTAGCTTACCGGTCCAGGCTTTTTGCGACTGCAGCGCTACATATACATACAGCGCGATCTCACCACGATTGGCGATCAGGATGGAATTGAGAGCGGTACCATCACGGCCCGCAGCGTTCGAGAGCGAAGACGACCGTCTTATAGCAGATCTGAGAAGCGCGGTTCGGCTGAGGTGGGAAGCGGGATGGAGCCGGGATGCTAGAGCTTGCAGAGACATCTGGCTGAGGTGGGTGAGGGGACGTAGGGGGCAGTCTCGGGAAGGCAAAAAAATTGTCAGGGCGATACTCGCATCCCCGTCTCGCAGAGGTCGACAGGATCTCCTTTTTTTTTTTTTGCTTCTCGCTTTCTTTCGCGCAGTGCTTCCCCACGAAATCCACGGCCTGCTTGCCGGGCCGAGAGCATCGCGACGGCTGCTTGGCCGCGCTAAGCGGATAGGCGCTCTCGCCGACGCAAACCGCGTTCGGGGTGGGGCGCCGAAAGTTACCGCCCTGCCGTAATCTTACCGTATGCGGCAGAACGGCCGACTGGTCACGTGTATTTATCGGCGCACCTTCCTAGCACAACACAACTGACGTCATCATCGCTCGGCAAATCTGCGGAGGTTCAGCCGGCTACTATAAGATTCTGTATGGGACTAATACACTGCGATTGCCTATAAGAGATGTATCTATGCGAAAAATTGAGCTATTCTACTTGTTTAGGCTCTTGTAGTAAAAATAAACTTTAGTTCCTGGACATGATTGTATTTATGGCAACCAAAATGGCCACCAAAAGAATCAGGAAAGTGTACTTTTAGCAGAACACAAGGTGGTTTTAAAGCAAACATACATCTGCTGTGCAGGTTGCTAAAGAAAAGGGTATAAAACTGATTGGTTTCCAATTGCCAAGTATGAATTTTGTACTATGCAAGCTATCGACGCCAAACCATCAAACCTCTCATCAAAGTCCCTAAGAAGCATACTCCTTGTTAAACGCTCTTCCAATGACCATGCGTCGGATCTCGCTCGTTCCGGCACCAATCTCATACAGCTTCGCATCCCTCAGTATCCTCCCCGCCGGAATTTCATTGATGTACCCCGTGCCGCCCATCAGCTGGATCGCGTCTAGCGCGCATTCCGTCGCGCGCTCGGCGGCGTAGAGAATGGCGCCGGCGCAGTCCTGGGTGCGAATGTGCGTACCCTCGGGCGAGCCGGCGGAGTTGTCGATCTGTCGGGCGATGCTGTAGGTGTAGGCGCGGGAGACGGCGAGTTTGGTGTACATGTCGGCGAGTTTGCCTTGGACGAGTTGGTTGTGGGCGATGGGGGCGTTGAACTGTTTGCGGGTGTGGGTGTAAGGAAGGACGAGGTCAAGAGACGCTTGCATGAGTCTGGGGGAATGTTAGCAAAGGCAGATTCCCACAGTAGAGAGAAATGGCTTACCCTAGAGGGCCGGCACTGAGAACCAAACGCTCGAGATCTAATCCCTCCATGAGAACGTGAACACCCCGGTTTTCCTCTCCGAGCACATTTTCAGTCGGCACGAAGACGTCTTCGAAGACAATTTCGCCCGTGTTGGAGCCTCTCATGCCCAGTTTATCAAGCTTGCGTGCACACGAGAAGCCCTTGGACGAGGTCTCAACAATGAAGGCAGTGATGCCCTTTGAGCCCTCCTTGGGCTTCGTTTTGGCGTAGACAACAATGTAGTCAGCATCAGGCCCGTTGGTGATCCACATCTTAGTGCCGTTCAGCAGGTACCCGCCGTCGACGGCTTTGGCTGTGGTCTTCATGCTGACGACATCAGATCCGGCCGAGTGCTCCGACATGGCCAGCGCACCGATCTTTTCACCGGATATCAGACCGGGCAGGAACTTCTGCTTCTGAGCGGTGGTTCCGTTCAGCGAGAGCTGGTTGACGCAGAGCTGCGAATGGGCGGCGTACGACAGGCCAATGCTGCCGGAGGCTCTGGTGATCTCCTCGAGAACAATGCAGTGGGCCTGGTAGCCCAGCGAAGTGCCACCGTACTCCGTGTCTGCGGTCATTCCCAGAAAGCCGGCATCGCCCAATTTCTTCCACATCTCGTTGGGAAAGGCATTGTCGGTGTCTGTCTTCGCGGCTACCTCCTCGGGGATTTCTCGTCCTGCGCCGTAGAGTTAGCCGTGCTGTGGCCAGGCGCTGGTAGCGCAGCGCAGCGCGCGGGGGTCTCACTGGTGAATTCCTGCACGCGCTCCCTCAGCTCCGCGAGGTCGCTCTCGTCCGGCGCAACGAAGGAGTCTGGGTGTTTGGACGAAGCGGCGCGCCAGGTCGAGCGCGGGGCCAACAGCGGGCGTCTGGCAGAGAGCGAGCGGGCGGTGCGGCCGAAGAGGCGAGGGACAAGCGACGACGCCATAGTTGCGAGAGAGATAGAGAGCGAGAGCGAGAGAGCGAGAGAGAGCGTGAAGACGCCTGTGCTGGCCCGATTCGTCTCGTCGGGCTCGGCTCGGCTGACCTTCCGCGTCGGCGCCCGGCTGTGCGCGGCTATTCGCGCCGACGAGCCGTCGCGGGCGGCGAGCCGAATCGACGGAAATCAGAGAGCAGTGAGAGACTGCTCGACGACGACAACGACAACGACGACGAGCTCGACAACACCGCCCGGCTCGCATTGAATTTGAAGCATGCGCTGAAGCTGCCCTCGCTTTCCCCCCCGTCTCAACCGCCCGCCGTCCGCCAGCATGGCCGCCGCCCGCGCGCCCTCGTCCACGCTCCTCCGCAGCCTCCGCGGCGCGCTCTCACGTAACGCCCACTTCTCGCTGCGACAACAGCGGCCAAACCGACTCTTCCCAGCATCCTCGTCCTCGTCCTCCTTCTCCTTGCCGTCATCCGCCCGCTCCATCGCCAACCACACACACGGCCACCAGGCGTCCGCCATCTCCGTGCTGCCGACCGCCGTCGACCCGTCGTCGGCCGACTTCCAGCAGAATGCGCAGCAGATGCACGAGCTGCTGGCACACATGGCCACGCTGCACGCCGGCATCGCGCAGGGCGGCCCGCAGAAGGCGCGCGACAAGCACCTGGCGCGGGGCAAGATGCTGCCGCGCGACCGCGTCACCGGCCTGATCGACCCGGGCACGTCGTTCCTGGAGCTGTCGCCGCTGGCCGGCCACCAGATGTACGGCGCCGATGAAGTACCGTCCGGCGGCATGATCACAGGCATCGGCACCGTTGAGGGCGTGACGTGCATGATCGTGGCCAACGACAGCACCGTCAAGGGCGGCACGTACTTCCCCATCACCGTCAAGAAGCACCTGCGCGCGCAGGCCATCGCCCAGGAGAACCGTCTGCCGTGCATCTACCTGGTCGACTCGGGCGGCGCCAACCTGCCGCACCAGGCCGACGTCTTCCCCGACCGCGACCACTTCGGCCGCATCTTCTTCAACCAGGCCCGCATGAGCTCCATGGGCATCCCGCAGATCTCCGTCGTCATGGGGCCCTGCACCGCGGGCGGCGCTTACGTGCCCGCCATGAGCGACGAGAGCATCATCGTCGAGAACCAGGGCACCATCTTCCTGGCCGGCCCGCCGCTCGTCAAGGCTGCCACCGGCGAGGTCGTGTCCGCCGAGGACCTGGGCGGCGGCCGCCTGCACAGCTCCATCTCCGGCGTCACTGACTACCTGGCCGTCGACGACGCCCACGCGCTCGTGCTGGCTCGCCGCTCCATCGCCAACCTGAACTATCCCAAGTCCGCCTCGCCGCTGCTCCCCGCCGGCACCACCGTCAAGGAGCCGCTGTACGACCCCGAGGAGCTGGCCGGCATCGTGGGCACCAACCTGCGCCGCCAGATCCCCGCGCACGAGGTCATCGCCCGCATCGTCGACGGCAGCGAGTTCGCCGAGTTCAAGCGCGACTACGGCTCTACGCTGGTCACCGGCTTCGCGCGCATATACGGCACCCAGGTCGGCATCGTGGCCAACAACGGCATCCTGTTCTCCGAGTCGTCGCTCAAGGGCGCCCACTTCATCGAGCTCTGCGCCCAGCGCAACATCCCGCTCGTCTTCCTGCAGAACATCTCCGGCTTCATGGTCGGTGCGGATGCCGAGAAGGGCGGCATCGCGAAGAACGGGGCCAAGCTGGTCACGGCCGTGGCGTGCGCCGACGTGCCCAAGTTCACCATCGTCTTCGGCTCCAGCGCAGGCGCCGGCAATTATGGAATGTGGTGCGTATTATCAACTTCCCCAAAATAGTGAATGAAAATATACTAACGTCGTAATTCTTCCTCCCCCAGCGGCCGAGCCTACTCCCCCCGTTTCCTCTACATGTGGCCCAACGCCAAAATCGGTGTCATGGGCTCCGAGCAGCTGTCGTCCGTGATGGCGGCGGTCGGCAAAACGGCCGATCCGAACCTTAAAGCCCGCATCGACACGGAGTCCGAAGCCATCTTCTCGTCCGCCCGGCTCTGGGACGATGGCGTCATTCCTCCCGCGCACACGAGGCGCGTCCTCGGCCTTAGTCTGGCTGCGTCGCTAGGCGGCCGGTTTGACGACGCGAAGACGAAATTCGGCGTTTTCAGGATGTAGTTGTAAAACATAAAAGGAGGACCCCGAGGTAGAGAAAAGAAGAAAAAAATATAAAAGAAGTAAAAATAAAATAAAAGCGGCTTGATACGATAACTGGCCGGGGGGAAGGGAGGGTGTCTATTCTATTTTTTCCTCGTGTTCCTTTCATTTTCTGGCATTGTTTTCCTTGTCCGGAGTAGTCAAGTAGTTAGTTAGGAGACCTGTCTAGACGTGTGTGCATGGTCGTCGTCTGTATACCTAGTTAGTTATCCCCAAGCATCAATCCAACTTCCTATTTCCGAACGGACTCTCTCCGTGAAACCCCTTTTCTTTTTCTTTTTTTTTCTCTCCTATCACGGTTCCAAACTCCCATTCCCCTCCCAAAAAAGAAAAGAGAAGAAAAAGAAAACGCATCAAATCACACAGGTCATCCGAAGGTCTATAGTTCTGGACTCTTTTGCCCGCCGCCGACGTCCAATCAAACATGCAGGGCGAAGCTTTGCCTCCGACGGGGGGAAAGCGAACCGGTTCAGTTATATTTCGTTAGGGTTTGGGGGGAGCTGCAGAGGAAAGACTCTAATAATCCCTGGATACATGCATGTCACCTGCAGCAGATAACCAGAATCTTCAGTGCAAAAATGACATATGAAGACACGATTTCTCCACACAAAGGCCGGCTTTGCTTCGGAGCTCGGTGATGTGAATTTTTTTTTTATTTTTTTGAGTAGCTTCACTGGAATGAATGTGTATGTCTCCTTGGTGTTCACGGTGGCCTGATTTGATTTGTTTTTTCGGGGAGGGAGAGTACCTTGAGGGGAATTGAGGGAGCGGCAAAAAAGGAATGGTTCAAAATATCCCGGCGCGGGAATGATAAGAGAGCTAGCTTAATATCCGACGCTTCAAAAATGAGGACCCCAAAAAAACATGCAGTCGAGATGATATATAGAGTAGGGCTGGCTGGAAAATAAACGAACGCGTCATACCTGGCTGTCACCAGTAAAGATAAAAAAAGAAAAGAAAAGAAAGCGGAGTGTTATACGGGAGTATTTTGGATAACCAAACGGCAAACGGCCGAGGATGCGCAACATATGAGAATATTGTTTTTTTCTTTTGTACATCCAAAAAGATCCAAAATAGGCATTCACCAGGTAATTTCTCACATGCCCCGTTGACATAACCCAAGACAAAAGTATATATGTATATAATAGTAGCAAAAAGAAAGAAATTCTGTAACTAAATAAAAAAAATGACTCCAAGGAAAACTTTTTTTTCTCCATCCTAGTATAGATATGAAAAACGAGGTATTTAAAATAGAAAAGAAAAGACCGTGTACCCTCCCAGAGTATATTCAACAGATTCACCATTAAGGAAAATCGAAACGGGAGGAATAGTAAAACCAGATCCCCAAAGGAAAAGAAATTGAGTTGGGCATCGAGCTTCATGCTGAAAGGGGAGGAGGAAAAAGAAAAAAATAATAAAAACAGAGAAGAGAAATGTATATGTATATGTCTAAAAAGGAAATGTGGTCGCAAGCCGATGGTATAAGCGGGGGGCGAGGGGAAAGTGGGAATGAAGATGCAGAAAACACGACGTGGCATAGTTACCACACCTCAGAGGATCACGCATTCAGGCCGTAGAGTTTTTTTCCTACTCGGTTTCTTGCTCCGCTTCTGGGCATCTTTCTTTTTCGCGGCATTGTGCTCGCGGTCTCGGTCCTTGGTGGCCTGGATGTCCTTGCGGATAATCTGGCGGCAGAGGTCGACGAAGGCCTCGTCGACGTTGGCTCGTCTGCGCGCGGAGGTTTCGTAGTAGGGCGCATTGCCCCACTGCTGCGACAGCTGGAAGGCCTTGGATCGCGACACGGCGCGGTCTTCTTCGAGGTCCGATTTGTTACCGACAATGACGATGGGCACGTTCTGGTCATCCTTGATGCGAATGATTTGCTCGCGGAGCTCGGCAAGCTCGTTGAGCGAGGACATGCTTGTTATGGAGAAGACGAGCAGGAATCCCTCCCCTTGCTTCATATATAGCTCCCTATGCAATGCCGTATTAGTCCGGATCGAAATTTGCGGTTCGCTTAGACGGAATGGTATACGAATGCCGTCCACGCACGCATTTCAGAGGGCCTGGTGTGGCAGATGGGGCGGGGAGGATTTAAAATTCGGGGGGTATATACCTCATGGCAGCTGAAACAACCCACGTCAGCCTTAATACTCGCCGGAAACTTTAGTGGACACAGGGCGAGAGAGAGAAAAAAAAAAGGACTTACTAAACTGCTCCGTTCCCGCGGTGTCTAGGCTGCAGGTAGATTGGGATCAGCTGCTTTGCTTTCACCAGTAGAGTCTCTCCAAAGCCCAGCTCTGGGAGCCATTGCGCGCGACACGGACGACGCAGCAAGTTGAGAGAAGCGACTCACATTTCTAGAACGCATTGTCGGCCCTGTTGCATTGAGTGCGAGCGTAGATGTTACTAGGAGTGCTTGTAGAGAAAAAAAGAGAAGGGAGCATACATCGACTTCCAGCTGCTTGCGGTACGAGTCCTCGATGGTGGGATCATAGTTCTCAATCCATATGTTCTGGACGAATTGGGCTAGGCGGAGAGCAAGGAACGGGGTCGCAGGTTAGAGGAGAAGGCGACGCAATCGGACGAGGAGCTCGGGACGAAAACAAACATACCTGTCAAGCAGCTTTTGCCAACGCCGCCTGAAGGACAATTGGGTTAGCTGGGTGGTCGTGGTGAGGGAAGAGAGAGAGAGAGAGAGAGAGCATACCGGCGCCCAGCACGACGATGTGGTACTCGCGGCTGGAATTCCAGAAAGCTGTTAGCCACGCGGGTAACTGGCGGTGCAGAAACGACATTTGCGCCGGGGCCTGGCGACGAGAGGGCGTGAGGGAGGGCAGCAGAGCGAGGCAGAGGGTGACGCAGTGGGTGATGGAACGGGGTGAGGTGGGAGAGGAGGAGAGGATAGGAGAAAACAAGGGATAGATAGGCAGTCAAGGTAGGGAGGGAGGGAGCTGAAAGGGCGTCGTTACCGTGGCTGCAGTCGCAGATGGGCGGCCATGCCTGGGGGGCACGAGAATTTAAGGATTGCGGGAAGGAAGGGGGCGAGGCGGGGGGGGGGAGAGGGAGCCGGGGGGGGGGGTATGCCGGGGGGGGGGCGCGGCAGGATTGCAGCGAGGGAAGGGGAGGGAAGAGGAAGAGAGAGAGCGACGAGGGCGAGACGAAGGATTGCCGGGCTGGCGTTGGTGGTGGTGGTGGTCGTGGTGGTGGCCGTGGTGGTGCGGGCGGCGCGGCTGGCGGGGATGAGACACCAGGCGGGCCCGGCACACGCCTGGTCAGCGACAGGCCCGAAGCAACCCGGGCGAGCTGGGCGGGTGGGTGAGCGGTGGTGGTGGTGGTGGTGGTGGAGGAGGTGAAGCTGTGAGGTTGGTGAGGTGGTGAGGTGGTGAGGATGCGAGGTTGTTGGGTGCTGGTGATGGGAGAGTCGACCACCACGATCGTTGCTCAACAGAGGAACCGTCCAGCACCACCCGGCTCACTAGCCAGCCAACCAGCCAGCCAGCTCGCTAGCTCACTAACAACCTAGTTAACCTTCGTCTGAAACGGCGCGCCAGCATAAGCCCGCTCCGTTCATCTCGCGCGATCGTCTGACGGCCAGCACGCCCAACGGCTGTGAATCTGCAGGCTCGTCACCGCCGGGAGCTTTGGCCGCCGCTCAGGGTCCCGCGCCGCCCACGCCCACGCCCACCGCCCACTGCACGCCCCTGCAGATGCGTGTGTCTTAGCCTGCGGTGCGGCACGACCACGACCACGACGACGACGACGACCCTTGAGAGCCGGCTGTACTGTGTGAGTGATCTCATTCCCAGAACGCCTGTTGGCCCTGTTCTATAGCCTGCCTGCGCCCCCGTCTATCAAACACGTCCTATCATACACACACCCCACGCGCCACCCCGCGGCTCGCGTGCCATTATTACGAGTACTATGCTATGCTTCTCATCGTCATCGTCATCATCATCATCACCAGCATCCCGTCTAAACGCGCTCAACCACCGCCCAATGTCCATGGCTGGACCCAGCGATCAGCCACCCATGTCGCCGCTCGCAACCGAGCCCCCTTCCCCGGCCACCGCCGCCATCGTCGTTGCTAGCCCGTTGGGCAGTGCCGGGCGGTGATGCGCGCGCAGCGCTTCTAGTACGCGCGGGAACACCAGCGCGTGCACGTCGCGCGCCCACAGCAGGTCCAGGTGCTCGTAGTGCGCGATGCGCGTCGCCGTCGTGTGCGCCGGCAGCGCCCGCAGCATCACCTCGATGTCCACCAGGCTGTCGCTGCCGCCGTACACCAGCACGATGGGCGTGCGGATGTTGCGCGTCGGGAACTTGGCCGGCTTGTAGTACCGCGCCGCCCCGCCGACGAGGTTGAGCGTCGGCCCCGCGTCGTCGTCGTACATCTGGAAGCTCTGGTTGCGGATGATCTGGAACCAGTGCACCACCGACTTCGTGCTCGTGTACGAGTACAGGTGCGCGTACGCCGCCAGCTTCTGCCGCACGCTGATGTTCGCCCCCGTCCAGTTGAACAGCAGCGACAGCGACATGTCGATGATCCGCACGAATATCGGCGGGTACAGGATCGCCTGCCACATCGTCGCCGAGCTCAGAATGCTCCGCCGCCCAAACGCCAGGAATATTATGTCCGGCGACGCTTTGATCAGCGAATCCACCACCCCGTTGTGCAGCCCCGCCGGCGACATCGCCGGCGCCAGCCCAATGAAAACATCCACCTTCTGGTTCAGCCCCGGGTGAATCGAGAGCGTGGCAAAGGCCTGCGCCGTCCCCTGCGAAAACCCAATATAAGACAGCGACGCCTGCGACGTCACCGACAGAATGTAGTCAATGCTGTCCGGGATATCGTGGAAGGCAAACTGGTCCATGGAAAAGTTCCAAAACGCCGTCGACGACGGCGAGTGGCTGATCGACTTCTTCGAGTACTTGTTTCCGCGGTTGTTGCCAAACCACACATCGTAGCCCTGCTCGACCAGCGTGAACGGCAGACAGCGCTCTTCCTCCGACAGGCACACCCAAACCTCGCTGTTCATCAGAAGCCCGTGGTGCAGGTACACCACCCGCTTGCGGATACTTCCCTCACCGCTGTTCACCTGCCTCCCCCGTTCGCTTTTCTTACATGATATCCGATGCAGGCCAAGTAAGTACCCATCGCCGGTTTGCACAATGTGCTCCTCGGCCTCGTATCCAAACAGAGCACATAGATCGACAAAATCCGCCGCCTTGGCGACCGACGAGGAAAAATCTCGGTGTTTTATGTGGTGCTGCTGCGGCGACAGCCCGTGGAATAGCCGCTTCGACTGCCTGTAAAAGAACCCGATCACAGGCTGAGCTAGGGGTCGGTGTCAGCAATAATGCCGGTCTATACCAGGGCCTACTCAAGCAGCCTAACTCACGCAAAAAGGACGTTATCAGGTGTAGAATCCCTTCAATGAATATGAATATCAAAGATCCGAACAGCGCAAGGTACTCGCTCCTGAATTCAGGGGAAACCCGTTAGCACAACGCCGCCAATGCGTGGACGGGTTGGCATGAGACTGGGGGGGGGGTCTCCATACCAGAAGAGCCTGCCAATAACGGGAACACGAGGCATGGCGGCTCGTCAACGCTCCATCGACGGTCTTCCTCGCTCGGCTGCGCGGTCGAGGCTGGACGAAACGATAAACACGCGAGGCCGCCGCTGTAGTTTCTGAAATTCGCGCTTTTAAGGGGCTGGTTGTGCCTGTCTGGAAGCAACTTAGTAGCTCGTAGCTAATGCTGACGTCATCGGCGTACGTTCTTTGTATTAGTAATGTTCACGTGATATTGAAGCTGCCAGCCAATCACAGCTGCCGCTTTTGAGTTGCCGCATCGGTCGCGGCCGGGAAAGAGAAAAAGAGCATCATATCATCAGACCGATCTGAACCCTCCGCCCAAATAGTCCCAGTGGTTGCCCACGACTCGGGCGCTGAGAATTCCGCCATGCCGAGCTCCTGTAAAGATATCCGTATGTTGAATCTCTCTCTGGTGGGGAGGAACCTCCCATCAATGTCTTCATATCTGGAGGAGGCGTGCTGATCGTCTGCAATTACAGGGCAAGCTCTGGCCCAATGTCTCCAGGAGTCGGACTGCATTATGGTCCAGCGGAACTCTCCGCGAGACTGTCTGAACCCGCCTCACCTCGAGCAGCTGCCGATTCAATGCCAGCAGCTCCGAAAGGGTTTGGGTGAATGCAAGTACGTCAACGGAGCAATTCTTTTTAATATGCTCTTTCATACTACAATACCACTTAAAGCCCATACGCTAACCATATTATTTTTCTTTCTCAGGCGCGGCCTGGTGGACATGCGCAAGCGTTTCCGAGGGAACCAACCCGTTTCGATATCCAAGGAGAAGGATGTGTCGACCGGCGAGGTCATTGAGAAGAGGACGCCGGTCCCTCAGCTGTATGCGGGGAAGCCAGTCGTTCAGTCGGTAAAGGAGACTAGCGGCAATGAAGGTGTCATGGATCCGGAGAAGACAAGAGGGCTATAACAACTATCCCCCCGAAGGGTATGGGATAGGTTTTTCTGTACGATTTGTATGCTTTGGCGTTTTGGATGGAGTTACCAAACAAAGGCGTTGAATTGGGATATTATATTGGGAAAAACTGCTGCCGATGTCGTTAATTCGATTTGATGCTTTGGCAAATTTGTACATAAATATATGTCTGACGATTAGAACACACCACTACTCTGATTCATCAGTAACCTTGAGTGGAACAACTAAAATTGAACTAAATCAGCTTTTTAACCATTTCCGCTGGTACATAAAATATAAAATATTGGAATATACAGATATAAAAAGTCCCCGCTTTAGTTACATGGCGAAAGAAAAAAAAAGGAGCAACACGTAATGGTCTACTGTTCTTTTTTCTCTCCATTCTCTTGTTTCGGCGGAGCCGAGTACAACCACAGCATGGTAAAAGCCAGGAACCCTCCAATAACCGACCACAACCCAGCAATCCACACCCAACCGCCAGTGATGGTCCAGCTGCGTGGCCACTCGTCGTGGGCAAAATGACGAACCGTAATCTCATGCTTCTCGTACACGTTGGTGAGGAAGGGCCGTTTATAGTTCACCCTGAATGAGAAAATGCCGTGTTGATCAGGGAGGACAAACGTGGTGCCGTAGATTGCACCCGTGGCTGTTTTGGAAACAGGCTTTAGGTTTAATCGGTGGAAAGGGGAGAGCATTGTGAATTCAAGTTGCAGTTGATCGTTTTTTGGAACTTCAAAGGGAATCCAGTGGTCGTTATCGTGCTCTGAAAGCTCGATGTTGAAGGTCTGTCGTCACATAAACATCAATAAACATACCAATTGTAGGTTCACTTGCTTTACGTACCACTTTATTTTTGATCCGGTAGATTGTGGGGTTCGTAGCATTCGTGAGAGCAGGCGCCGTAGCGTCTGACTCGCTCAAATAATGCTGTACCTTTCCAACTTTGATAACACCGGTTTCCTTGAACGTCCAAGCAGTGAGCCTTTTGGCGAACTCTCTGTTCCCCGTTTTGCTTTCTTTACCATCATTTGGTCCTTTAACGGTAGCAGAGAACCATTTGTCCTCTAAGCTCTGAAGAGAACCTAGGATAGTAAGACGAGCAGAATTTCTCGCCTGCACTGCTGAAACGAGAGAAATCTGCGAGCCTGTTGCAAATGGATCCTCTACGGCAGCGTCCATCTCTTTAGTGTCGTAAGAGTACGCGGTCGATGGAGCGTGAATAATCGGAGTAAGCAATGGGCTTGCATTTCCAAGAACCTGGCCAGCGGATTTTGGAAAAGCGAGAATTCCATGGCCAGCAAATAGATTCTTTACGTCTAAGCGCAGTTGTTTCGGTTGAGCAACAAGCAGGGTATCATGGAAGTCGGATGACGAAAGGGTATCGAAATTAAAATGGTCAACAACAACGGGTGCACGGTCGGGAGAGAGGCTTATGTCTAGCTCGAGGAGGAGAGATGATATGGCGTTGGGGACAGGGGAGCCTCCAGAAAGGGCCAACAAAATATTCCCATCTCCATTAAGGAAATTGAGGAGAGTATTGGGGGTCAAGGCAGGTCCAAGTCCTAGCATAAATTATTCATTAGCGTCCTGTAAACGCCTATGTGATAAGAGCTACTCCACCTTTTGTTTTCGTAGGGAGAATCATAAGATGGTCATAGGACCTCACTCCATGTTTGAACAGCGATAGGCTTTCATTCTTGGGGGCGGCAAATGTTATCGAATATCCCCGGCCTGTGTAGAAGCTAAGTTAGAATGGTAGAGACAAACGAGCACCGTAAATTGGAAGCACGTACTTTCAAGATCGGCCCAGAACGTCGAATATAGCTGCTTCTCAGACGCCTCCTCCTGGATGACGAGCAACCTGCTGCCCGAGCTACTCAATGCCTGAACGGCGCCATAGTAGATCCCAAGGACAAGTAGCGAGAGTAGCCACTGCATGTTAGCATCTAACCCACGCGCGCGCGGGCAATGCGGGCAGAGGGGAGAGAAGGGAGACAGTAACGGAGGGGGCCCAATTGCACCGAGAGGTAGGCTTCCGGCTCTTTTCGCTTCAACCGTGGGTGAAGCTTGCTCGCAATGGTGGAATTGAAGCTACGTGTTTGGATGCGCAGCCAACACGCCAAGACTTCCGGCACTAAAGCCAATTCTCCAAGGCGGGCAAAACGACCTCCAGCGCATATCTCGAGCGATCCACGCCGAACATCCCCCTCTCGAAGCTCTCGCTTCACCCTCCACCAGCTTAATCGGCAGTCGCCTCTACTTTCCTTCCATTCGTTTCTCCCTTAGCCGTCTATACAACCGGGAACCTCCAATCCACGACCCTCACGCCATGTCCAAGCCAGTGTTCTGGTCCACACCTATCCGCTATATGCGATGGGCAGCGATCGAGAAGCCAGCAATCTTTTACTCCATCGTCATGGGCTCCCTTGGCCCCGTCGCATTGGTCACATTGCCCCCTATCAGACGATATTTCGGAGATGTTGACCCCCCACCAGTCCCATTGAGTTATCCAAGTGCGTTTCGTCCCCCCTCCTTTCCAGACAGCCGTCTCTGCCTTGTGTTGCGAGGCTGGATTTCATTCATGTCTTAAATGCACCAGACCTACAAATTTAACTCTATATTAACCTAACTTGCCCATCTCTCAATCTAGTCCCACCCGGCCCAAGAAAGATACCCGAAGGCTATGACGACGAGTAGCCATTTATCTCCTCGCCCACAGACCATCGAGCGTTTGTCAAAACTCTAAGATTATTTTGGGACACCATCCAACAGTTACAACTCTTAAGCCATCCTTCTACAAAAATGAAGACTTCGCTTTTTGGAGGGGGAATTGACCGCTCTGTCCAGCACGTCCCAGAATCTTCAAGTTACAAAATGAAATAAGGGCGCATTCAGTGATTGGGCTCAGCAGGGCTTTGTTATTGCCCCTGTGATGTATTGTATGTACATACATAAATGATGTACTTTCCTATGGAAATTTAGCGAATTGTTTACCCATATGTACAACTTTTGGGTGTCCAATAGCCTTTGAGCGATGCACGTTTATGTGGTAGAAGTAAGACTAAAATAAGAGGCCCTGGAGGTTCTGTCCTCGCTTCTCACCCCATCCTATTGAAGAGGAGTATCTTCATTTCATGACAGGCCTGAAAACAGTACACACATATGTATATTTTCAAATTATCATTATAAGGTTTAATCACCGCTGTATTAGTACTGATAGTGACGTGAGAAGATTGTGGGAGAACTATATAAGAAACTGGAAGCATTTTGAAGAATCATTGAATTTATAATTTTTTATCACTTATGACGCCTTTTATGCATCGTCAAGCCATTAATTGCCTCCCTTCTTATAAAAACAACCAACCAGGCTCCACAATGCAGACTCATGAAAGCGACGAAGGGAGAAGTCTTCAGTACAGTTGTCCAGTCCAGTATGAAGATAAAGGAAATAAAATCATAGCAAAGTGTAAAGGTAGAAGACAAGCATAACAAAAAACATCATTCCCGTACATCGCGTCCACGACTCTGGATACCACTGGGGATAATTTTAAGTAATATCAGCAGGTCGAAAATATTAGCACAAAGCCACCCTTTTCCCAACACCTCCGTGTAAAACATCATGCGCCAAACTTTAAACGATCCAAAGTGGACAGATCGAGGTTTGAAGAGAGGTCCCGGCCCGGTAGATGTATGAGTAAACCGACCATTATGGCAATCCGTTGGTGAAGAACATTACATAAATTGAAGTCGGTAGACGGCTACTGTATAGCTTTCCATCCGAACAAGTCGTAATCCACATCACCCCGTAAATAGGGAGCGAAATAGTAAGGGTGGCCTGGGACTCTGGTATTCCAAAAGCCGAAATGAATCAAGTCACATTCTCAAAGTTATCCTTTTAAGACCACGTGGATTATGCGACTCTGGTAGGTGTACACTGGCAGCAGTTCGAACAGTCCACATTTAAATCACTGGGAAATTAGCGAGGCCGGCGCTGAGGGTCTCTATCTCTTGGTGGGTGCGCTCTGCCAGCTGGGCCTCTTGGATCCGGGTAGGCACTTTCAGGAGAGTATCTGGGGTCCATTCGAGGGTCCGGGGCAGTGCTGGGAGGATACCCCATGCCACTAGAAACTCCTGGTGGGAAGTCGGGGCTATCGTTATCGTAGCCCTGACCAGTGTAGCGAGGAGCTGATCTGCTATCCCCATAAGGGTAGGCATTACCTTGAGAGTAGGTATAAGAAGATTGCATTTCTGCGGATGTAACAACTGGAGCGGACGATTGTCCCTGTGCATAGGTATTTGGAACAGAGCCATAAGATATCGGATCCGAAGGGTAACCAGAAGGCTGGTTAAATGTTGACGAGTATCCAGATGAATTTTGCTGGGGGGGATACGGGGTTTGCGAGGAAGAATATGGATCCATGTATGGCTGAGAAGTGGGAGGAGCATATGTGGCCTGTTGTCGAGACTCGTGAATTGACGAGGTATTGTAGTTGGCTGGAGCCCTGTTAGGTCCTTGTTGCATATTGACATCATGGTTGACGTAGTTACCTCTCGGATAGCCCCTCTCAGCTCTACGAGACGTCTCAGCCTCCCATCTTGCAGAATCAGCTTTGAGGTCGGCAATCATTTCCTGTAACGGATTCACAAGTTAGTATGGCGAAAAGAGTATAGGAATGAACAGTGGGATCATACGGATGTTAAATTCCGATAAGCGCGAATGAAATATCCTTGGCGTCCCTGCGAGACGAATATTAGCAACCAGAGACGGCAAATTGAGACGGCCAAGTTAGTGTGGGCGCAGAGAGGATGGGAAGGCAGACCTGGTGGACCCCAGGTTTCACGAGGGCATCATTTCCGAGGTAGCGGCAGATATCTGCCTGGATCACCTCACGACTTATTCCATCTTTCTCGATGAAATATTCATTTTGGCGCTCTGAGTGTCCCATCATTGGTGCTATTTGGTGGAGATACAGGTCAAAGATAGGTATCCTAATGCGACTAGTAGAAGGACAGGGTTCCGGTGTCAAGTATATCCGTCTGGAAGGCAAATAGAACAACACTGGTGGGTGTCAAAAATGGGTGGTGCTTTTGTGGGAATAATCCTGTTGAAACTATTGAAGAGCGCTCTGGCTGGTGTCACACTGCAAATGAAATTTCACTTCACTCAGCGAAATAGAAAAGGTATTCCGAGAGTGATCGCGGGTGATGTTAGAGTGTATTTAATCCTTTGACGGTCAAATTCAAGGTCCGTGGGAATGCCAGGCTTTAGAGTCCAAAGAAAGGAAAGAGTCCAGTTCCAGAAACGGATCAAAGAGTCCAGCGGGCGAGTCTCAAATCCGGGGACAGTTCGCAGTCGCTGGGGGAGGGTCTGAAAGGAGACAATCAAAGATCAAAAGAATTCGGCCACAGATATGAAGTCTGGCAGTCACACCCTGCCCTTGCAATGGAGATCTCCCCGCGAGGTAGGTGGGCAGACCGAAATCGCGGTCACTCAAAGGCGAAGAGGGGCTGGAGGCGTAGACACGCTGGGCGCGATGGATGAAAGAGAGGCAGACGGGAAGAGAGTGCACGAGGCAGGCCGGGAGAGAGAGGAAGCGAGAGAAAAAGAGAGGGCGAAGGAGGGAGAGAGGGCGATGGTGGGGGCGAGAGCGAGGAAGAAGAAGAAGAGAAGAAGAGCGAGAAGGGGCGGCCGCAACGGGCTTAGCGCCGTCAGGCATGCAAGAGTCACGCAGGGAGGGGCTACGGAGTGGGGCGGCTCGCGCTGATTGGCGGGCGGCCGGCCTGGTGCCACGAAAGAGGAAGCTTAGGCGACCTTACGTCAGCACGCAAACACCACCAACTCGCAGCGACAGCGACAGCGACAGCGGCGGCGGATGCGCGATGCGATGCTGCGACGCTTCTTCACGGCTCGTGTGTGCAGCCCGGGGCACCGGCGGTGGTGCTGCTGGTGCTGCTGCTGCGACAGGGCGGGCTGCGTGCTGCGGTCTTGAGCCAGGCAGGTATTTGATACCCAATGCCTAGCCCCGTGCCCTGGTCCCGTCCGAGTACAGGGTACCGGTTTGGCTGGCGGGCTGGCCCCCGAAGGCGTTGTGTGATTCGCAAGAGCCGGAGAAACGGCTGTCTCAACCATCAGCAGACCGGTTCTCGCTGGTGCAGAATAGACTTCGGTGTTGGTTGCCTGTACGGCCCAACCACCCCCGCTGCGCCATTGGCCAAGCGGCTCTGGCTGTTAGGCACACATGCGTTGGGCATCACTTTTTTTTTTTCAGCGGAAACCCTTTTTTGACCTCAGCGACCCATGATGCCGTTACAGGGAAAGCAAACCTTCTCCTCGCCCAATCGAGCAATTGACAGGCGTCACTTGCCACAGCCGCACACAAAGCGCTGTTGCTGCTCCTACGGACGGCCACAGCTTCCTGCCACCCACTACTGGCGCGCTGAAGGTGCCCGCTGTGCTGTGTTGCGTGGGACGGTGGTACATCGAGGGAATCCTTCTCCGGCCACACCGTTTCCCCGACTCGCACTTTTAGCCCATTTTTACGGAGTAGTCGCTTGAAGAATCCTCCCGTCAAACCCCGAGGCAGGGATCCGCCGTTGCCACACCGAACGGGTCGATGCTTTTAGGAATGCCATCTGGCACACTTCTGAGATGATGGCATCCCGGGTACTACTCATATGAACACCACCCTCCGGGAGTGGCCTTTGCATCTGCGCGGATGCCGCTTGCGGATGGTCAAACCCTTCGTGCTTGAATATCATACCGGGCTGTGCACGGGTTCAAGCGTCTTTGTTGTCTCCCCGAGCCCTGTTTTCCTTGAACGTCGGATTGCATCTGCGAGTCAATAATATTTGCTCAGCACCATCGGCTTCTAGCATCAAATAGTTACATGAAGCTTGTTTGAATACGGTCTACATGCGATGCGGTCCGTTTTCTTTCATCGCTTCTTCCCGCCACCGTCTAATCAGCGTGGACAATCTTGAAATTGGTTCGATGGAAGTGGAGCCGGGTATCGAATCGCGCTTCCGCGGTTTTACGCTGCAATGCCACCTCTAGCACATTGACGGCTACAAGGCTACTGACGTCCTTGTCATTGCCTCCAGTGCCCGCACGGCATACGGGCATTTTGTCTCCCTTAGCACCCTGATCGGGTCGCTTGGGCAATACCACCCTCTCTATTCTACAGATCTTGCACCGCTCGGACCGTCTAGAACGTCCTTACCGTTCAGCTGTCGAACGTATCTTACAATCTCGTCCGCCGCAGGCCTATTTCGAACAAGTTGTTTTTGATATCAAAGCGGGATCAAGGGGTCCTTCAAGCCCAATCATCGAGTCAAATGCCCACACAACTGCATACAAACCCGGTCAATAGCATGCAAGAGAACCATCTGGGTAAGCTCACTACCTTGGATCGGCCGACGTAGGCTTGTTCGTCTTACGTATCCGTTTCCTACCATTCACGGGCAGAATTGGTGCATTATGGGAAATTCTTGCTTGGCATGTATCTCCCATTTTTTCTACCCGCAGGTTCACTGCCGCATCTTGCAGTAGAGACTTTCCCAGAAATTCGGCACGGTCCTCCAGAAACTCAAGATTCGACATGGATGCATTATCCATAGGGGCCAAATATATCACACCCAAACAGCCCATACGTGGAATTCACCTCTCACAGTTCTTCCAGACCATCCCATTTCCCGTCATATGCACCAAGCTTTCTGTAAGGGGAGGTTTCTACGGGTATTAGGAACATGGGCATAGTTATACAATATATCTCTTTCTATCCTTAGTCCCGGAATGTGATGTTGGTCTCCTGGCACTGCGGAATCTAGCTATGGCGGGATTATCGCTTGTTTCTATTGGTTTGATTAGATTTTGACGCCAGTCAGATTCGCAATCTCCCCCATAAAGGCTCAAACATCCGGTGCTGTGGCGTCGATCCAGGTACCTTGCCAAAATGTTTAGTTCAGCAGACTCGCTTTTGGAGACGAATAGGAAAGGAAAATGCACCACCCTTTTTCCTGCCGGGCATATCGTGAGGTGGGTGAGTGGAACACAAAGATTTCTGGACGCTCATGCATACCCAACGGTCCAGAAATGCGGTGCCAGGCTGTACCAGGTTTTCAAATGTGACTAGCTAATAAATGTTCTGTGACAGATTTCCAACCCGCCGGCACAAAGCAACAGAGATCAGGTTGCTGGACTAGTTAGTTACAAGAGGACTGTGCATTGTGAAATTGGAGAACAGTTCTGATAATTCTCTGTGCGACTGGTATTTCTTCCAATCAGAACACACTAAGACAGCGGCTGAAAAACTAGCCAAGGCTTTGCTCATATTCCTTTGTGATGTGCAAGCAACGATACCAATGCTGCGTGGAGAAATGGGGTTTATAGTAATCCAGCATATATTTTGTACCACATTTGCATGGCCCCGATTTGCCTTTTTCGTCATGTCCAGACCCCTCTCACCCCTGTCCCCTAAGCGACCCCTGCGCAATTACCGTTTACAGGCCCATGATCCGATTCCCATTTCTGTTTCTCGGATTACGCGGATGCGGCTGAGAGGGGGATGCGTGAGTGGTGAAGGGCATGGCAACTCGTTCGCTTCCTCCTCAAGCTTCCACTACCACCGGACTATCCGGTGAATATTAGTTGGTTGTAAACCGACACCACTCCCTCCAGTTTAATTAAATACTGGCGAAGTGTGACAAAGTGCTCAGATAACTAGACAGCCCAATATTGTCTAGCTTCTACCAGGAGACCAAGCAGCATCGCGAGTTAAATATGATATCACCTTCAGGGGTACTACTATAGAGCACGTCACTACCGACATAAACTGGCAGCCATATAATGGATAAACTTGCCCTCAATATGACCTGGAGTAGCATAACCAGGTACGCATCTTGGATGCTGACTAACGAAGGCTTGGCCGTCGGCCCGAGCTCCGGGCTTGGCGGGTGCGGTGGGCGGGGCTGGCCTCTGACGCAATCCGCGCTTCGTCGGCGACGAGTTGCGCTGAACTTGCGATGGAACTGTGCCAGGCAGCTCCGACCCGCCCACGCCGCGCCCTGAACGGAGCCAACTAGCTACTACTACCTGGTTTATGGCAAGCTGCAGCCATGCCCGCTCGCTTGCGGCCCGCCTCTGCGCATCCCAGATAATGTGGCGAGCTGCTGTCCGCTGCAAACCGTCCCGCCAGCTACGGGCATGTTTCCAGGCACGGCCGCACAGCTCGACTCTCTCCTCACGGCTCCCTCGACTGACTCCCTCTGCCGCACTATCGAAACCTGTTGGCCACAGGCTCATCCATGCCCAGCAATTTCAGCCCTTCGTTCCGCCCCCGCCGGCGTCTCTGGGGAAACCCACCGCCGCGAAAACCTACCGACGAACACGGAAATGGCTTCGCCGCTTCTTCTACCTCAGTCTCTCGCTAGGCACGGTATACGCTATTGACCGTTACTTCTACGCCTCATGCCTCTTCCGCACTACTCGCACGTTTGCTCTTGGGCTCTACGTTGCCGCAGACTATAAAATCAACTTTCGCCCCGACCCTCCATTTGCGAAATCCGTGGCCGCAGTGCACGCCCGTAATGCCCAGCGATTATCGGATCTTCTTCGCACAAATGGCGGGTTATATTTGAAGATCGGCCAGGCGATTGCCATGCAGTCTGCCATCCTACCTCCAGAGTTCCAGAAAATGTTCTCGCGTATGTTTGATGATGCGCCCCAGAATGCCTGGAAGGACGTGGAGCGGGTGATTGAAGAAGATTTTGGAAAGTCTGTTGAAGAGGTCTTTGGCGTCTCGTTCAATGGCGACCCTACTTGTGGAGTCATGGAGAGAACAGCCAGGGCGAGTGCGAGCGTTGCTCAGGTACATTGGGCGAGATTGACTGATGGAAGGGAGGTAGCAATCAAAATTCAGAAAAAGGAGATTGCTAGTCAAGTAAAGTGGGATCTATGGGCTTTTAAGTAAGTTTTTATAACCTATCAAAGATGCTTTTGGACGCCTTCCGGATAATTTTGATTAACGCTTTGTAGGGTTGTGGCATGGGTCTATAGCCGGGCTTTTGATATTCCATTCTACGGCTTGGTGCCTTTTGTCAGCGAACGTCTTTTCCTTGAAACTGATTTTGAAAACGAGGCTGATAATGCTGAGCGAATGGCGAAGCTAGTCGCTGGCGAGCCGCGTCTCAGAAATCGGGTGTACATTCCAAAGGTTTATCGTGAGTTGAGTTCAAAACGCGTGATGACTGCTGAGTGGATTGAAGGTGTTCGACTATGGGACAAAGATTCTATAACCCGGCCATGGCGAGGCGGTTGGTGGCAAGGCAGTCCAGGATGCCATGGGACCCCTCTTGACCCTTCTGGAGCGCAATCAAATGCGCGGCAACCACAGCTGCGATCATCCGGTGTTTCCGAAAAGCTTAAGCCGGAGCGTGAGTACTGGAAAGGCCGATATGGCCGTGGTGGATTAGGCCTCTCGCTAAGCGAGGTAATGACTACAATGGTCGACCTTTTTTCCGCGCAGATGTTTCTCTGGGGATGGCTCCATTGCGATCCGCATCCTGGAAACTGGTTTGTACGCCGGAAACCCAATGGCAGTGCTGAACTTGTCCTCATCGACCACGGCCTGTATGTTCACATGAAACCAGACTTTCGGCATCAGTACTCAGAGCTGTGGAAAGCCTTGTTGACATTCGACAACAAGAGCATCAGCCGAATTGTGAAAAGCTGGGGTGTCAATAATGCTGATCTGTTTGCATCAGCCACCTTGCTACGCCCTTACGAAGGAGGCCAAAGAACGACATCGAAAGCACTGGAGGGCTAGAGCAAAAAGGACAAAGCTAAGTTGCAATATGAAATGCAGCAGGCTATGCGGAAAGCCGCTCGTGAAGTCCTTGGTGACGAGACCAAATGGCCGCACGAGCTTGTCTTTATCTCCCGCAACATGCGAATTGTGCAAGCGAATAACCAATATCTAGGTTCCCCTGTTAACCGCATTAAGATTATGGGGACATGGGCATCCCGTGCGCTTGTTGAGTCTCTGGATCTGCCACTGTCACAAAAGATTAAGAACTACGGCCGGCACATTGTGTTCAAGTTTGTGATTCTGACCTCAGATGTCTTTTTCTACTGGTATAAATTCCGGCAGATGCTGGGCTGGGGTGGGGGTATGGAAGATGAGATAGAGGCGCAGATGCAGCATATGGCGAGAGATATGGGAGTCGAGCTGAATCAGCCCATATTTGAGGGTTGATTGACAGAACTATCACTACTCTCTAAATGTGTTTATACCCTTCAACTTGTATTTATCTTCGTACGGAGTACTGTACATTAAGATTAGTTGTGGAGATTTGACAGAAATGTATTATAGTAATAGAATCCATACTCAATTTAAGCAATACTTTGAACCTTGATTTCTTATTCTCTACGGAGTACAATCTATTACTACCGATAAACCTTTCTTTGGTCGAAAGTTTGGGTTTGACATTGACTTGGCTTGGTTGGGCGCCGAGCTGGTAGTTAAACTAGATTTCCCGTTATCAGATCAGATCATCCCATATCATATCACATTAGAACTCTTCTCTACTTTTCTACTCAAGTGGTACAGCTAATGTGCATAACCTCAAAAATGGCACATAAGACTCTCCAACTACGACTGGATCCTAATTACGCATAATCTCCCCATCTCGCAATGGAAGACATATCATGCTCACCCTTCCGCTCCCATTCCCAATTCAGCTACCGCCACCTCCAACTCCTACGCGCATTCTCCCCACGCACACCCCTCCGCGTAATCGCCCATATCGACCTCGATGCCTTCTATGCACAATGTGAAATGGTCCGGCTCAAAACCCCTCGCACGCAGCCCCTCGCCGTCCAGCAGTGGGAGTCACTCATCGCAGTGAACTACGCCGCGAGGCCGTTTGGCATTTCACGCATGATCACCGCGAAGGAGGCAAAAAACAAATGCCCGGAGCTTATGGCGGTGCATGTGGCAACGTTTAGAGAGGGCGAGGGCGGGAAATGGGCGTACAGGGAAGATGGTGACCATGATGTGGCTACGGATAAGGTCTCGCTGGACCCGTATCGGGCGGAGTCGAGAAAGATACTGGGGATGGTTGGGGATGGGCTGATGGAGTGGGCAGAAAGGGTTGATCCACGCGGCTTTGGGGAGCGGGACGGGAAAAAAGACAAGGGTTGGGAATATATGGTCAGGGTTGAAAAGGCTGGAATTGATGAGGTCTTTGTCGATATGTCTGCCCTGGTATGGGCAACGCTCATGGAAAGATATCCCATGTTACGGCAGACAGAGGATTCCCAGGATATGAATGAATATCTGCCACGCCCCCCCAGTACCGCGCTTGAGTGGTTCAAAGAGGATGAACTGGTTGATTTGGATGACGGGGAGACCGAAGAAGATGATCCGGACTGGGATGATGTGGTTATGCTTGTTGGCGCAGAAATTGCTCGATCTGTCCGCCAGATGATCTGGGAACGTTTGGGTTACACTTGCTCTGCGGGCATTGCACAGAATAAAATGATGGCCAAATTAGGAAGTGCTTGCCATAAGCCTAATAAACAGACCATTGTGCGAACTCGCGCTGTTCAACAGTTTCTCGGTGGCTATAAATTCACCAAAATCAGAATGCTTGGTGGGAAGCTGGGGAAGCATATTGCCTCAATATTCGAAACTGAAAATGTTGGTGAACTACTGAAGTTTTCGCTTGAGCAGTTCAAAGCAAAGCTCGATGATGACACTGCTATGTGGCTGCACGAAATCATTAGAGGCAATGATCATAGCGAAGTGAACCCGCGAACAGAGATTAAGTCTATGCTGTCCACGAAATCCTTTCGTCCAGGTATCAAATCTTTGGAGCAAGCTGAAAAATGGTTACGGATCTTTGTCGCTGAAATATACGGGCGGCTCGTAGAAGAAGGCGTATTGGAGAATAAGCGGCGGCCAAAAGTACTCACCATCCATCATAGGTTCAATGGACAGACCAAGTCTCGCCAGATACCAATCCCGTCTACTATGCCAATTGATGAAGAGTCGCTGCTTTGTCTAGCTACACGATTGCTAAAGCAGATTGCGAGTGAGGGCAATATATGGCCTTGTGCCAACTTTTCTGTCAATGTGAGTGCATTTGAGGACGGCATTTCTAAAAATCAGAGGCTTGATGGGTTTTTTACACGCGCGGCATCGTCCGACAAGATGTCAGTGATACCTCAGCGACATCAACTAAAAGATGACCATGAGCCCAGCGAGACGCAACGAAGCAAGATGAGAAAACTCGAACATGGAGATAGCGATGGTTCTCCAGAAGCCCCACAAGAGTACCAGGCAAGGCTACCTTCGGAAAGCATTATTGGCAAAAATGTCGTATCCAACGACGATCTATCACCGACCGAACTTGACACGTTCTCCTGCTCCCGGTGTAACAAGCCTATACCCACAGTCGAAATTGATGAACACCAGGACTGGCATTTTGCGAAAGATTTGGAGTCACAGGATAGGAGGTCATTGCATTTCGAGAACATGAACCGTGGTCTTGTCAAAACTGGAGGGAAACGACAGAGCCGATTGGCGTTTGGGTGACATTTCGGAACTGATCGTTAATATTGTCATATGGGGCATTTCTTATCATCTGGCCTCGGAAATTTGCCTCTTTTTTTAAAGTGGTTGGCTCTAGTGACGCTGGGCGGTATTATAATCACCGACCTTCCTGATACCAGTCGCTCCGGGCTAGAACCCTTATCTACATGCGGAACGGCAGGTTTGCTGGTATAGCCCACCGACTCAACGCACGATAGAGAGCTTGACTGGTACTCTATAGTTCGCTAGTCTTTGGTAAGTCCCGTGTTTCATTCCGACGTTTCATTATTGCGACGCGCGTGCCAAAGATTGGTCAGGCGCAGTATTTGGGTCAGCAATTAACTCGGCCGCTATAGTCAAGCGTATCCCCCAAATAGATGGATTTGCCCGCGGTTCCTACTTCTCCGACGCTGGTTCTCCAACGGGGATGTATCCTTGCCAACGTATCGTTTTTGATGCCGGGCTTGGCTTCAAGGATTAGCGGTGACATCATCGGCGGCGAGCAAGTATTCAGCCCCTTCGGCTCGCTTTTTCAACGCCCACACGGCGAGACTGTTCGAAATTTCGGTTTCGTTTTGGAAGATCTCCCCGCAACTGCCGTGCGTTCCATTTCGTCTTTTGCCTTGTTCTTTGGGGCCGATTTGATTATGCTGTGGAGCTTATGACTTCATCTTTTCTCTATAGATTCTTGATTCAGGGCCGATCCACTGGTTCAATCATATACAGCATTTCGGACACCCGGAATTCTAAACACAGAAGCGCTTTTGAAGCCCCTGTTATCTAATCTTGAGTTTGATCGGAGCATCATGGGGCGACGTGGGAGAACAGTGGAAGAAAATTACTATGAAGAGCGCTTTGATCGTCGTCCAGCAGTGAAGGAACTTGTCAAGGATCGTCGTGAGCGGGTCTTCGAGGAGGATATTGAGGTCCGCCACCGACCTACGCGGCTGTTCAAAGAGCGAATCCGAAGTTCAAGTGCTGGTGCCCTAGTACTTCGAAAGCGGGTGAGCGACGAGTTCGTGCGCGTACCCCGAGAAGCGGAAGAAGTACATATTTTACAAAGAGAGAGACGGCCTCCAGTTGCCGATTTTGAATTAGACGAACGAATTATCCATAGGAGAGAAAAGTCCAGGGCACGTGAGCCGGTCCGGATAGTTGAAGATGAGGCAATCATTCATGAGCGGGATTACGATAGCGATCACTTCTCACGGCGTTCACGACGAAGGCCGACAGGGCATTCACGCGAGATAAATGTTGAAATAGACCATGGAGCGCATAGGGACGAGATTAATTATCATAGCACATCCAGAGACAGATGCCCGCCACCAAGGCCAAAATTTGAAGAACGGGAAGACATACTTATCCGTACTGAAAACAAACGTGAGAGAACAAAGGTAGCGGCGAAAGATGAAATCCTCATTCGAAAAGAAATAAACAGGTCGCCCTCCCCCAAACCGTCTATAGCACCATCGCGGCCGATACATGCTCCACCAATCCATCAAGATGTCATAATGCACCACAGACACGTCGACCATGGTGCGTCTAACGATGGTTCCCATTTTTGAGAGTTCTGACTGATGGAAATAGGATATGACATTCACACTCCAAGACGTGTTCGAGAGGAATCCAAAAAACGTGTTGATATTGACGAGATTGATATCCGCGAAAGGTTAGTACACAAACCTCTAGCTAGTGAATTCTACACTATCAGAAAATAACCCGAATACAGACGTGGTCGGAATACCGACGATCTACAGGTTATCCATCGTCGCGAAAAGGGCTATGAATCCTCACCATCGCCCAGGCGCCACGTGGCCGAAAGAGATGAGGTTATGATATCGCACACCAGTAGCAATGGTCGGGAGCGCGAGCGGGATACACTCGTAATTCGTGACCGTGAAGGCCACCATGACCATCGTGATAGAGCGGATATTATGGCGGAAGCTGATCATTACAACCGTCGTGCCACGGTCAGTTCATCTATAGGCGAAGCATACAATGGCGCCACCAGAGACTGGGCTACCATCGAAGTACCGCCCGGGACAAAAAGAGTGACACTAGACGGTGTGGGGGGAGCGAGTCAGGAGATATCATGGCAGAGATATAATGGTCTTAGGAGGTCGAAGTTCAGGACTGACGGCGAGGAGCACTGTTCGGATTTTGGATTCGAGTTGGATAACGCCGACATTGGTAGGCGTTACACTGGCCTCAGGAAGCCAGAAAGGCTATGGACAGAAATCACCAAAGACCTTGTTGTCAAAGAAGCGATCGAGAAGGTAGGATATGAGTACGAAGAGACTGAGGAATTCTTCTATGTATTCTCCTACCTACGATATGTATGTGTCATCTCACAGCCGAGTATTATCATTTCCCTTAACTTCCGTGCTGACCGGGCGGACAGGACGACGTTGCGCACCTTGTTCGACTATCTGACGAATTCCGACACGCCCGACGGGAAAGAATTCGAGAAATTCAAGCTGAGCGAGCTATCAAACATGCCCCATTGGCCCTTCCGGCACCTCCCACACACTCCACAACGGTACTGATAGATCGCAGCGCGAATGAGGATCGAGTCAGCGAACATGATCTTGTCATTGAGACTGACCGGCGTCACTTTCGGGGACGAAGGTGGTAATGAATTTTTTGTCCGGCCTTTCTTAGCTTTCTCATTGGAGATGGCCGGCGTTCAGCAACGCTGGGCCGGACGGCTGCCTTGCCGACCTCTTGTACGCTGCCCCTCAGCTGCAGTGTGCTGCTGTATCACCACCATGCTATACGTGACCCTGTATTCCCCCGCTTCGTATTACCTTCTTGTTTTCCCATATGTTTTGGCTACGTTTTTGGGTTTTGTGTCTCCAATATGTTGATGCCTAGCATGACTTCTGGACAGTGTGTGATGATTGATGACGATGAATACGAACAGCTCAGCTTAGTTGCCGGCCTCCATTAATGACATAAAAAATCTAAATATTGGCTTCTCTTGGTCTTCCAAAGTATCAAATCAAGACTTTTGGCCCGAGGAACTGCTTTCCACCATTGTAACATCTACGTGGGATGGCAACGGGAGAGCAACGCCGGGCCCAAGGGAGCTCACATGGAAGGCCCCCACGCATTCTAACTAGCCGGGCTAGAGTAACTACGGAGTAGTTTGACTGTCGCCGTCGTGCGAGAGATTCTGGAAAAGACCAGGTGTCTGTCCTTATCCGGCAGTTCGTCAGCGGGTGGCAGGGTCTCTGGAATTACGGACAGCACATCAGCACAGAGTAGCACAGTGAGCAAGATCACCAACACCAGTCAAGCCGCCGGGCCGGCTTGTCCTCTGTGCAGATTTGCTACGTTAGAATCTTGAGACAGCTTGGAGCGCTGGGCTCAGCCAGCCATCCGGTCGCGATGGGCGCGCGCCGAGATGCACTCCCTTGAGGCACTGTCACAGGATATCGCTTGACGAGACACCATCTGGCGTGGGGGAGACGCACGGAGCAGCGACAGCAACCTACCGACGTTCTCGAAGAGCAGACGGAAAGCGTTTGATGAAACACAGATCTCTAAGCGCTGGCGACCCCCAGATCGCATCCCCGGGGTAAAGTCAGCCCCAACGTTTGACCCCCGTCGCGTCCTTTTTTTTTTTATTATGATTTTCTGCGACTCCTCCCATTAAGCGCCTTGTGGCTTGTGTCAGAGTGTGCAGCTTGGCAGGCTGCATTGGATTGTCGCTGGGCCCGCGCGCGAGAAAGGGGGTGTGAAGGGCTGCGACATCTCGGAGGCCACAGTGTTGCGCAAGACGCGCGCGTACCGCAGACGGTCCTGTGCCTACTTCACATGGCACCGACAGGCTGCAGGAAGAGCGCGAGTGTGTTCTGCTGGTGCTCCGCCAGGCTCTCGTTGGCTCGCTTTTGTGCAGCGCCAGGCCCTCTCTCGCCACCGCCGCCCCTTTGGTGGCCACCTCCTGATGATCGCGGCAAGATTGCCCTGATTTGCAGCCCACGCGCCATTGCGAAGCCAATAATCCATCCGCCGCCCGCCCGCCCGCCGATTCTCGACGTGGTCGTCGGTGAGCGAGATTACATATTGGCGATCGTGATATTACCAAAACCTGGAGTCTGGAGCCGAGCCGGCAACCCTGTAAGCAGCCAGAATGATGACGGGCCAAACAACGAATGCAGCAGTTCGCGGGCTGTTCGGGAGCGCATGAACAATCTTAGGGTAATCTTACGGGAGCTTCCGACGGCTGGAGGTCCCTGTGGATAGGCATTATTGTTATTGTTATGGATCTCTGCACGGCCACACCTTTGCAGCCGGCCACGGTGGTCTAATTGTCGCCTCCTGGCTCGTATTGGCAGCGACCGATGAATCATTGACTCCGAAGGAAGGGCCCGGTTGTGTTCAAGAGGCCCGGCCCAGCGCCCGCCACAACAGACTTTCAGCATCCTTGGAACAGCGCGGTCCACAGCGATCCCGGTTGTGCGCAGTGTTGAAACAAGTGAGCAGCCAATGGTGGTCTGCTGGGCGCCAGGGATTCATGCAAGCCGGCATGCACTTGAGACGGACCCATGGCCGCAGAGAGCTTGAAATTATCTCATCGTGTCCACGCAAACACCACTGCGGGCCGGCCAAACGCGCGCGCACGGTGGGCATCGTCCGTGGAAGCATCTCGTAGCGAGTGAGTGAGCGGGCGGCCGTGGGCCAGCGGAAGGCCGTCGTCGTGGGCCAGTCCATCGTCGTCAGCATCATCAGCAGCAGCAGGAGCAGTTCTGTAGCAACGCAGCGGCTCGAGCCTGAGGCGGGCATTATTGGGCTCTGGATGATGCTTTTGGCTGTATTTTAATAATAGCAGCGCTCCCTGGTGGTCAATGCTCTTGGCGGGCCGGACATCGAAAAATAGTCTGATTCTCGTCATCCGTTGCCCAGCACGCTGCCAACCTGCAAAGCCCTCACAGTCCTTACCAACCCGCTCGCTGTCCTTCCTGTGCTCCGCTGCTGTCGCCGCCGCCGTCAAGTCTCCTTCCTCCCGCTCTGCTTGTCCTCCGCCGTCCTCCCCTGCTGACCCTTCCGCCGTCTCTTGTCACCTGTCTCTCCCTTACCCTCCATCTCCACCTCCTCCGAGTCGCTCGCCCACCGCAGGCCACGATGCTCGCCATAGTCTGAGCAATAATACCTGTCCGTTGAGCTTCTCGACCGGCGACCTGCCTGTGCCTCTGTACTCTTTCGTGCAGATGGAGGCCGGGCTGCCGTCATTTCACTAGGTTTCCTCGACTGTGCCAGTCACTGAGGGTATGCGACCTGATTTCCAATGGCTGTTCTCTCCTCGATCAATCATGCTGTCCCCCTTCCCTGCTCCTCCCAGCTCGCCGGTGCGGCCCTGTGAATGATGTGTGAATGGTGTATACCTGGTGTTTTGTTGGAGAAACCCGCATTCTTTGTATCTGTCTCTCTGTCTCTCTGTCTCCCTGTGAGTCTCTGGCATGGCCTGATGTCTCCAAAACAATCCACCTCCCATCGCACCATATCGCATCATATCTCCATCGCCGTGGCGATGAGCATTCACAGCAGTTCCGCTGCCTTCCGCCGAGCTCAGAAGAACAGAATTTTCTCTCTCCCCCTCTCTCTCCTGTTTGTTTTTCTTTCTCTTCCTGCTCCTACTCTCATCCTTCGAACCCATTCCACCGGTTTGCCGCTGCGTCTCTCAGCAGTGGCTGGCCTCAAATCCTGTTCTCGTGCAGATTCCGTCTTTACTTTCTGATACCAATCCGTCTCAAGCTCAATTGTTCACATCCTCCTTGAAAAGCTGCTGATCCGGCAATCGTTGTTCCTAGTCGAGACTTCAGTTTGACTGTTGTCAGTCGATAGCATCGACTTGGTCATAAACAATGGCTTCAAAACTACTCGTCGCGTTTGCGTACGTCCTGATTCTTCTTCAAACGACTGTTCTTGGACAAGCTCCTGGCACCGAGCAGGTCTATTGCGCGTCTCTAAACACTGGGTCAACTTTTGAAGCTGGTGAGTCTCTTCCACGCGAGATGCACGGCCATGCCAGGTTGTCTGACTAAGATATCCACCTCGCAGTCTATAGTCTTTACCAATCGTACGGAGCCTGCCGTGATACCTGTGTTAGTAAATACGCGTTCGGAGTCGTTCAAGGCAGATACTGCTGGTGCTCAGACGCCGCCCCCGGAGACACCACCGACGTCAAGTCCTGTAACGAGAATTGTCCTGGTTACCCTAAAGACAAATGCGGAAGCACGAACAACAAACTCTTCGGTTACATCCAACTCGATAAAAAGCCGAGCACGACGATAGGCGGTTCGACTACAACCACTTCGTCGGTTAGTACCTCTGGTTCCCTTGGACCCTCGACTGATACCACCCCAACTCCTGCTCCTCTTCCAACTGCTACATTTTCAAGTTCATTGATTTTTCGGCCACCTGTGTATTCTTTGTCGACATTTTTCTCTCTTTCGCGAGGCGTGCCTACACTCTCTGAAGACCCAGACTCCAGTTCTCTTGATATTCCATGGACCTTTTTGACAACTGCTACTACACAGACTGGTCCTTCAACACCTCCGTCTTCGCCTCCCGCCCCAGTGACGATTACTGTCGTGGACTCGCAGACAAGGAGCGGCACCACCACTCTTTCTACAGAAAAATCACCCTCTCCAGTATGAAAAAACTCCTCCAAGTCCTCCAAGCCTCATCAAGAGGCTTGCCCTTTCCTTTTTTCCCCTCGTACTGGAGTGATTCTCTGCATGTTTGGGCGTTTGTGTTTTTGGGGATGCATTGTATGGCGTTTTGGACACTTTTTTTTTTTTCTATTTTTTTCTCTATTTTCTTTTTGGATGAGCCATATCTAACTGATCTTAATTGTAGTCATCTGCAACCGACAGCACCACTTCTTCTGCCGCCTCCTCCTCCTCCTCCTCCACGTCAACCCCTAATGTCACTACCCAGACCCTTCCTGGAGCGACAGTCACTATCCCTAACAACAATCTTCCCAGTCAGACAGCCCAGCCTTCCACTGGCAATAAAGGCCTCAGCGGTGGCGCGACAGCTGGGATTGTCATTGGCTCCCTTGCCCTTGTTGCTTTGATTGGACTCATTCTCTTTTTCTGGTTCTGCTACAGACGCAAGTCCAGTGATTCTCAGAAGGAAGAAGCTGATGAATACTTGAACCCTTACTATGAAAGGGCTGTCCCTCAACCCGTCTTCCGCCCTCCCCATGGCAGCGGACCTAACAGAACGGGGCCAACTCTAACCATCCCATCATCTAATGACTCCCGCCTGAAGAACGGCATCTATCCAAATGGCAGTCGTCGCAGCAACGTTTCTCTGCAGGACAACCAAGACTATTCTCGCCCTGTCCGGCCTGCATTGCGAGTGAGTATTGGTCCTTGCTTATTATGCCTGTAGATCGGGAAATAACTGACGCGGTGCCTTACTAGCTTACCAATCCTGACCCCCCCGAGAACTAGTAGTTCATGCGCGTCTCACATCACCCCTCCCAACAACAATGGCGACTTGAGACCTTTGACGATCCCAGCTCGCACGGTTGCCACCTAATACCTTGAAACGAATCTCATTATGGAACATGATTTCGGTTTTATCCAGCTTTTTACCCCAGGTGCATTTCATTTAGACGGCGTTGCGCAGGCTCAACAAATGCAAATACCCAACGTCTCCCCGACCATCCGCTCCATTTCATCAGACCGATCCAGTTCGATTTGGTAGCTTTGGTGAAAAAAAACTTCACATTCTTCTTGTAGAACCGCTACCTCTGTATCCCCCTCCCCCTCTCTTCCTCTCCCCCTTCTCCCCTCCCCTCCCTTTTCTTTCCTGTGACCTACAATGACTAATCTCAAGCCTACTTTCCCTATCCACTTTTCCTAGAATTCAGCGTTGATGGTACCTCTCTGAA